TGTGGACTGTGGTGGCGTCACACTCGCTCACTGTTTGTGGTGGCAGGAGGTGCGTGTAGAATTCACTCCGGCAGTCAGTCAGTGATGGTGGTAGTGTGCCAGGCATGACCGTGTCGTGTAGTGTTGTGTCGCGTGGTGATGCCTCAGACAATAAGTGCATAAATAATACATAACTTGTATGAAAATAATGACATTTAGTTGACTTAGGAAGTAATATCTTGTATAAGAGACATGAGAGCGTTGTTGTGTGTGTTGGTGTTGGTGCGGGGAGCTTGGTGCACCATGGTGCCCTACACGCTGGGGGACACCACCATCATGGTGGACAGCGCCGTCCTCGGTTACAACTCCCCTCTGCTGGCGCACCTCAATCAAGGGATGCCCTTCCGTCGGGAGAGTGGAGTTGTGTCGGGCAGCCATGCAGGTGACGTAAAGGTGGGCAGCAGCCAGAGCCATGAGGTGGATGAGGCCCCAGAGCTAACTAGTGCCAGCGGGGCCTTCTGGCCACACCACCACAAAGACTCCCACGAACAGTTCTCTAACAGTGACTTCTTGGCCGGCCATGATGGCATGTTGGATATCAGTGTGTTGCCGCAGCGTCAGGCAGTGTTCCCCAGCCGCCCGCCGCCCGTTACCCTAGAGGGCTTAGGTGATGCTACGGGGATCTACTTGCAGGAGGAGGACCTGCCACAGCGGCCTCACGCCAACACCCCGCCCTTCTACTACTCTGTGAAGACTCCAGACATAACTCAGGTGTCAGAGAAGATTCATCACATCGTGACGTCACTCAACAACAAGACGGTGGGCGGAAAACTAAACGATCGCGCCCCCATCGATGATATCTATTTCCCATCTCAAATGCCGCCCATCCCCAGCGATGTGAGGCTAGACAGTTTCCCTGAGTACCCTATTCAGCCACCTGGCCGCCTCGGCAACCATCAGTCCGCCATAACCAACAAGGAGGGCTTCACTGGGGTCATACATATGGTGCCCAAAGAACCGGGCCACCATGATGCTTTCCCTGCTATCCTGGGAGACTACAACCCCGCCCTAAGTAGTGATCCTCTACCCTTCCCTCCTATCCCGGGTGGTGACCTACCTAGAACACCCTATGACCAAGACCAAACTATTAACGACCCTCAGCAGGTGAGTGACTTTAGCGACCTCTGGGTCTCTGAGGACGACCGCCAGACCCCATACCTTCACACCCTGGACTCTGGTGGGGGGTCACGGGTGAATCAGGGGCAAGAGTCTGCTAGCGGATCTGATCATGGCACCCGAGAGTCAGCAGAGAGTCACCTGCTGGCTGATAATGAGAAACCAGCCTTTGTTGTTGATCTCACAGCAGCAGAAGAAACTGTCCATGTGGCTAATGACCCAGAAATTGCTGGCCAGGTTGAGGCCTTTGCTCACTCAAACATCCCACAAGAGACGGTTACTATTTCTACTGACCAACAGGAGACAGACACCGAGTCAACTGCTCTATATGAGAGAGTCACCGAGCCTGTCAGACACGACAACATTACTGACTCGACTGACGACCAAGTTACAGTTACTGACTCAAATAACCGACAGGAGACAACTACTGACTCAAGTAACCGACAGGAGACAACTACTGACTCAAATAACCGACAGGAGACAACTACTGACTCAAGTAACCGACAGGAGACAACTACTGACTCAAATAACCGACAGGAGACAAATACCGACTCAAATAACCGACAGGAGACAACTAATGACCCAAATAAGCGACAAGAAACAATTAGTGACTCAGATAACCGACAGGAGACAGTTACTGACTCAAATAACCGACAGGAGGCAACTATTGAGTCAAATAACCGACAGGAGACAGTTACTGACTCAAACAACCTACAAGAGACAACTACTGACTCAAATCACCGACAGGAGACAGTTACTGACTCAAATAACCGACAGGGGACAACTACTGACTCAAATAACCGACAGGAGACAACTACTGACTCAAATGACCGACAGGAAACAACTACTGACTTAAATAACCGACAAGAAACAACTACTGACTCAAATAACCGACAGCAGACAACTACTGACTCAAGTAACAGACAGGAAACACTTAACGACTCAAATACTACAGTGGGGGGTGACCAGGTGGTGCCCGAAGACCCGATGATGTCTCCTGTAGGTGACGGTGAAGAAGGTATCCCAGGCGTCACACAAGCCATCACCACTGAGGACACACTTAATATCGCCCTAGAGGAGGTGCTTATACAGAAGGTGGAGGAGCTGAAACAAGGCGAGAAAGAAGAGATGTTACAGGGCGCCGTGGAAGAGAAGGACCAGTTAGCTCTCAATCAGGTTATGGCAGACCTCTTCGACAACTTGTTTGATTCAGAGACCGACACCCAGAACAAACAAACACACACGGATGTCGATTATGACTTAGAAGAAATGAGAACAGAACAAGATGATTCACAAATAATCGTCAAAACTAGTACAATAATACCCGAGGAACATATGGACGAGAGTGAACATACGTTGTCACAAAGCGATGGTGTTGATGTGATTTCTGGTCAGGGGGAGAACGAGCAAGATATACCATCACTTACATACTTTCAAGATCACGAGGAAGATGGAGTTGGGCGACCTGGGAATGTCGAGGGAGTAGCGTTATCAAGTACTGTTGAAAGTGAAGGTGGAGATGAGCTCCACACACACTCCACCGACGAGAACGAGTCCTCCCCAACACCCCAAAACAATCCCTCCATACTCACGGATTTTCCACCAACTCGAGAGGGACCCGACGCAGCAGACACCCACAGTGAAGAATCAGAGGATGGCCCTGTTCATTACTCCCCTGGCCTCCTCGTCCCTTACCTCATTACCCAGGAGCAGGCCAGCGACACCTACGTGGATGACGAGTCAACTTACCTCTCCAGACACGAGCCTCCACGCCCCGACGACGACGGGCTCAATACCTGGTTCGATGAAGACCCCATCAGTATCTTTGATTCCTTGTACGCTGATAAGTTAAAGCCAAGGCCATTCCTGGAGCCAGAAGAAAATATAAGGGTGTCTCAGGGCACTTCTGGATCAGGAATGTCCCAGGTAAACCTTGGCTCAAAGCCGGTGATAAGAGTGCCACAGTTGAGACCCCAGTTGGCACCAGCAAGTCAATCGTCAGGGTCAGTACCGCCACTGCCTCAGCCGGCACCAGGGGTTCCATCGTCAGGGTCACCACCGCCACTGCCTCAGCCGGCACCAGGGGTTCCATCGTCAGGGCCACTACCGCCACTGCCTCAGCCGGCACCAGGGGTTCCAGGCCCTACCGCCACCGCCCCAGCCGGCACCAGGGGTTCCATCAGGGTCAGTACCGCCACTGCCTCAGCCGGCACCAGGGTTCCATCGTCAGGTCACCACGCCATCAGGGGGTTCCACCGTCAGGGTCACTACCGCCACTGCCTCAGCCGGCACCAGGGGTTCCATCGTCAGGGTCACCACCGCCACCGCCTCAGCCGGCAGGGGTTCCATCGTCACACTACCGCCACTGCCTCAGCCGGCACCAGGGGTTCCATCGTCAGGTCACCACCGCCACTGCCTCAGCCGGCACCCAGGGTTCCATCGTCAGGTCATTCCATCGTCAGGGTCACTACCGCCACTGCCTCAGCCGGCACCAGGGGTTCCATCGTCAGGTCACTACCGCCACTGCCCCAGCCGGCACCAGGGTTCCATCGTCAGGTCACTACCGCCACTGCCTCAGCCGGCACCAGGGGTTCCATCGTCAGGGCCACTACCGCCACTGCCTCAGCCGGCACCCAGGGTTCCATCGTCAGGGTCACCGCCACTGCCTCAGCCGGCACCAGGGGTTCCATCGTCAGGGTCACTACCGCCACTGCCTCAGCCGGCACCAGGGGTTCCATCGTCAGGGTCACTACCGCCACTGCCTCAGCCGGCACCAGGGGTTCCATCGTTAGGGTCACCACCGCTCTTTCCTGTACGGCGAGTGGCGTCAACACCAAGACCGGATGAAAACGACGTAAGCGTGAGTCGTCCTCAGATCCCAGGCTACGTCCCTCCGCCTGGCCACCACCGCGACAGCCAGGGTTAGTTTTCCACACACACACACACACACACACACACACACACACACACACACTCTTTCTCTCTCTATCTCTCTCAAAAACACTAATGTGCCAAAATTTGAACTCTTGATATGACCTCCTTAATATATGCAAGAGAAAGCCGTCGTTGGGGCTATAACTAACGACAATAAGCGTTTGTTTATGCCACTGATAACCTCCAAGATATGTTTGTTGTTGGTACAGGGGAGAACGCCACGCTGAGTGAGGAGCAGGAGAGCAGCGACAACACCACCACCATCTTCCAGGGCGCCGTGTTCCATAGTGCTACGCCCAGCCTACTAAGGAAGTCCTCCTGTAGTGAGTATGCACACCCACCATAATTAACCCACCACACCCACTATACCTAACTCACCACACCCACCAAAGCAAACCCACCACACCCACAATAGTTAATTCACCACACCCACCATAGCTAACCCACCACCACACCTACTATAGTTAACCCATCCTACCCACCAAAGCTAACCCACACCACCCACCATAGCTAACCCACCACATCCATCATAGTTAACCCACCACACCCATCATAGTTAACCCACCACACCCATCATAGTTAACCCACTACACCCATCATAGTTAACCCACCACATCCATCATAGTTAACCCACCACACCCATCATAGTTAACCCACCACACCCATCATAGTTAACCCACCATCGTTAACCCACCACACCCACCATAGCTAATCTACCCCACCCACCATAGTTAACCCACCCTACCCACCTCAATGGATAACGTCACCCACTAACTTCCGGCAGAGTGTGGAATACGACTAAGTTCTAAGATCGTGGGAGGTCAGCCAGTCACCATTAATCAGTACCCTTGGAATGTGGCTCTCCTCAACACCATCACCGGCTTGGCCTTCTGCGGCGGGGCCATCATCAATGACTTGTATATCATCACTGCCGCACACTGTGTCAACACGTGAGTCTCCTTACGCTCTGGGTACTGACTACTGACCCCCTTCACTAGTGCGTTTACAGGGGCTCGTCAGGTTTGGTGCAGTGTGGCAGCCCTGTGTTTGTTTACATTCGACAGAAGGTAAACCCGCTATAGTAAATATACTATGGAATCAAATTAAAACAATATTAAAACAGTTACTTCAAAGATAATGATTTGTGGAATGTTTATATGACGAGCCCCCTTTAAACGCACTAGTGAATGGGACTGTACAGTTGTGGACAAAGAGAACTCAGCAGGGAGGGAGTATGAGCTGCGTCTCCTGCATAATTCAACTGAGAAATAAAAATCAATGTGTATGGGAAGAAAATCGCAGACTTTAATCGTCATTTCTATGTAACGTTGATAAGTCTCCACCAATCCCTACCTCCCCTCTCCCCTTATACCACCTACCCTCCCTTCTCGCCTCACTCCTTCCTTCCTTCCCTCCCTTCTCGCCTCCCTCCCTCCCTCCCTCCCTCCCTCCCTGCCTGTCGAATTCTTTTTTGTCAACAACTGTACATTGTATACCTGCCTGTATTCTCTATATACAAGCTGAACTGTATACCTGTATTGTTATATACATGCTGAACTGTATACCTGCATTATATATACGTATGTTGAATATAACACAGCATAACGTTTAGATTAAGTTTCAGTGTTTATGAAGCCTCTAAGTTTCAGTATTCATGAGACGTCGAATATTCAGTGTTCAGGAAGCCTCAGCATTATTCTCAAGTACAGTATGACAGTCGTGATGGTATCATTGACATATACCTGACTAACACGCAAACACACTTTTTTTTTTTTTTTGGCAGCATAAGTGTCGATAAGTTGCTGGTGCGCGTGGGGGAGACCTCACGACAAGGACAGTCAACTCTCCAAGTTCCCGTCCAGAGCATCATTGTCCATCCTAAGTAAGACTCGCTCTATTCTTTCAGTAGGATGTTACAGGTTCGGTCCTTTTATGGATATCAGTTACGTGTGTGTGTGTGTGTGTGTGTGTGTGTGTAGCTCTGCTGGTGAACATATACTGTAGTGTGTGGCTCCATTTACGTGCAAAATGCTAATAAATGTGTACAATATAGCCCCCCCCCCTTCCCTTACCGACGTGCCTCTGATTGCAGTTATTCCGGAATCACAAGTGACGACATCGCGCTGGTGAAGCTGGCCCGCCCGTTAGAATACAACGAGAAGATCCTGCCCGTGTGTCTCGCTAGAGGAAGAGAAGACATCAACAACGAGAAAGGTAAGACGTTGACTTTTAATCAGTTTCTGCCTCCCTTTCTTCATTATACACTTTGTCCTTTTGAAACTATTTTTAATTTTTTTTAGAAGAGTCACATAAGAAGTCAAACACAATCGCAAAATAATTAACTCTCATATTATTGCGTTCCAAGAAGTAGGTAAGTTAGTTATTAAACAGTTTGTGGTTTTTAACGCATAAAATAGTGATCTCAAAGTGAATTGTCTCGGGTCGTAGAATTGGGATGAATTTGGGGATTCGAAATAATAGTGAATAATTAATTAATATACAATATTCAGTTTTGATTAACAGCGTTTTCCACAATCAAGGAATCAATAGAAGTTTGTTTATAATGATACTAATAATAATGTAATAATAATAATAATAATAATAATAATAATAATAATAATAATAATAATAATAATAATAATAATAATAATAATAATAACAATGATCTATGTCTCTCTAGGTGATGGAGTCCTTTTAGTATTTGCTTATATTTTCTAACTGAAATATGTACTCAAATAAATACAAAGGTAATGAAACTCCAAATAGCTTGCCGACATAGTAAGACATCGTGTTCTTCCTCACAGCCATAGTAACTGGGTGGGGGAGGAAGACGTTCGAGGGGGCGCTGCTGGATGAACTGCACGAGGTTAAGATCAAGGTCCTTCCCACCCGGAAGTGTCGGAGAAAGTCGGAATATAATTTTAGTGAAGTACACAAAAAGATCATCTGTGCTTTAGGACCCGGCAAGGACGCCTGTCAGGTAGTAAACACCACTTACATGGTAGGGGTTGTGAAGATGGTAGGGGATGTGGAGATGGTAGGGGTTAAGGGGTTTGTGCCTGACGCTTTGTCTGTGTCTGTCTGTCTGTCTGTCTATGGGGTCAGGAATCAGTGTCATGTCAACATTCATCGCCTGACCGTCACTTAACCCTTACCAAAGTTAACTTGTATTAAGATGAATGCCTTCCTAACACGTGTATTTTCTTTGACACACACGGGAGGGGGTAGACACACACGGGGGTAGATACCTGGGGGAGACACAGGGGGTAGACACACACGGGGGTAGACACACACGGGGGTAGAGACACAGGGATAGACACACGGGGGGGGTAGATACACACAGGGGTAGACACACAGGGGGGGTAGACACTGGGGGAGACACAGGGGATAGACACACACGGGGGGGTAGATACACACAGGGGGTAGACACACAGGGATAGACACACACGGGGGTAGAGGGGTAGAGACACAGGGATAGACACACACGGGGGGGTAGACACAGGTAGACACACACGGGGGGTAGACACCCGGGGGTAGAGACACAGGGATAGACACACACACGGGGGGTAGATACACACAGGGGGGTAGACACACACGGGGGTAGACACCGGGGGTAGAGACAGGGATAGACACACGGGGGGGGATACACACAGGGGGTAGACACACAGGACAGGACACACACAGGGATAGACACACACGGGGGGTAGATACACACAGGGGGTAGACACACAGGGATAGACACACACGGGGGTAGACACACACGGGGGTAGATACCGGGGGTAGAGACACAGGATAGACACATAGGGGGTAGATACACACAGGGGTAGACACACAGGGATAGACACACAGGGGTAGACACACACGGGGGTAGATACACACAGGGGGTAGACACACACGGGGGGTAGATACACACAGGGGGTAGACACACGGGGGGTAGATACACACAGGGGGTAGACATGTTGTATAATAAATCACTAATTTGACATCTGAGTGCAAAACAATAATCAATTAAATGTATAGTAATGACTTACAGTTATCTAACAAAATGTAATTGTAGTAACGAATAATTAGTTCTTGTTTTTACAGATCTCAGGAATTCATATAGAATAGTTTTTACACTTAGTACAGTTGTATACTTATATATATATTCATAAAAAATGATATAGTATTGGCAATATAAGTTGAGTACAGGCAATATACGTTGAGTACAGGCAATATAAGTTGATTACAGGCAATATACGTTGAGTACAGGCAATATAAGTTGAGTACAGGCAATATACGTTGAGTACAGGCAATATAAGTTGAGTACATTTGTTGGTGTATGCACAGGGAGACAGTGGGGGCCCGTTGACGTACCTGGACGGTGACCAGTACGTACATATTGGTATAGTGTCGTGGGGTATCGGCTGTGCTAACCCAGACTACCCCGGCATCTACACTAGGATCTCCTCTTACAAGTAAGTCACCATCACTCTTGTGTGTTACAAAGTGAGATATTTCGTGACTTAGACTGGACTTATATCAGCTAATTTAACCTGATGTAGCTTGAACTCAAACACAGCCTTGCCTACCTTTTGCTTGACCTGACTTGACTCCATCTAACCAAACCTAACCTAACCTAAATGAACCCTATTATTTCCTCCATTTGTTTGAGGTTTATGTATACCGTATATAACAACACGAGAGGGGTGATGGTAAGAGACTGCTGTAGGAATGTGGTAAACAAAAACAAGAACTACTGACTGTTTGTATTTTATCTGATACCTGAACCCAACACTTACCCGTTTTTAAGACGCATTGGTAAGCTGGTGGTGTTTGAGCTGCCAGGTTTCACTAGAGCATATATTCTACAGTAGTCTTAAATAAGTGAATAGAGTTAGGTATTAATTACACATGTCTGCTGTACCGGAATCTAATAGTGTAAGTTTTTTTTTTTGATGTCTTAATTTGTTTCAGCAGTTAAGGATTTTAATCACAGATCATAAGAGTAGAGTCTATACCAGACAACAGCTTACAGTATAAACTTAAGGACAACATTGCAACGGTAATTTTTTTTGTAGACTAATCCTGACTGACTGACTGACTGAGAGAACTTTATGGTCTTTGCTGACTCGGCTTATGGCTACCTCTTGGTTGTTATTCTTATAAAAAACGGAATCAGTTTATGAATAATGATAAAAAAAAATACTGTAATTATACCTTTGGATCACCTGAAGATTAGACACCTCGACTTATTTTACCTGAAGATAAACCGCCTTACGTTAAATTATGTTAGATTAGGGTATTCCTTCTATGTAATCTACATAAATTTGGTTATCAGGACCTGTCGGGGCTTTTAGTTACATGTTGTTGAATCGGTCAACTCTTACCATTTAAAAACTCTTTACAGAAAATGGATCCAAGAGAACGCTGTAGGGGGTCAGACTTGCCAAAGGTCCTTCTTCAAGCAACGGAGCGGCAACAAGAACAGAGGAAATAAAAACAAATCCAAAGGGACTGCGGGTATCAGAGATGCAGGCGAGAGTACCAAGGAGGAGGGGAATGAAGGAGGAGGAGAGGTAGAGGAAGAAGGAAAGGTGGAGGAGGAAGAAGAAATGAAGGAGGAGGAGGAGGGGGGTTTTGATACTAGTGTCCTCGATTCAATACTGGGGTCTAGTAGTGAGGACCCTGCAGCAGTACCCACCTTCACCGACATACACAAAGTACTTGATCCTGACAATGAAGACGACGGTGAAAGAGAGAACAACAAGAGAAGACGGAATAAGAATAAAAGGAAGAAGAATAAGAGGAAACAAAACAAAGATGCGATGAATGGGGGGGATGGAAATATTGCTGATGATGAAGAAGAGGAGAATGAGAATAATGATATGAATCAGTATGAAGACATGGGAGGTGTGGAAGAAGAAGGGGAGGAGGAGTCAGACAACAAAAACAAACAAAATAAAAATTCTGGCAACCGAAGGAGAAATAACAATAAAAAGGGGAATAAAAGAAATGGCAATAAGAAAAGAAATAAGAACCAAAATGGAGAAGATGAAGAATGTAATGAAGACGCAAGCAACAGTACGAAACAGAAGGTAAACAAGGATAATCGAAGGAAAACTAATCAAAATAAGGGGAATGAAGAGAGTGAAGACGAAGTAAACATTGCTAACGTAGGAGGAGAGGATGTAGAAGATGAGGTGGATTGGTCTAACCTGTCGGAGGCGCTGAAGGGTATTGCCTATATCATTAAGAAAGAATCCGAAGTCACACAGTCGAACCCAGATGAAAACGTCGGATTGTAAGCATTAAAGGAATCAATACAATATATACACTCACATCACGCATCAAACATCACAGTACGTGTAGAAACAATTATATTATGTAGTGTGTTGATTTTGTAGTTTGTATGAGTCTAAATTTGAAATATGTGACGAGTGATTGCAAGCACAGTACAGCTCACTTCATTTGTGTTTGTCTGATGGAAAATGTAAGTGATGTCAGTTGTGTATAGCCAATCAGAAACGATACTAAAAGTAGCGTAATGTATTCCACAAATCCCATAATTTAGGTAGGCTTTTAGGTTAAGAACAGTATGTGATGATGGGATAAATGCGTCCATTAGTACCTATTGTATTACATTCATAAATCTGTAATCACAAGATATCTTAAATAGTCCACTGCTTGTCCATTCGTCTTTTGAGGGGGGTACACTTTTGGAGACATTTCCACTAGTACGGCTGACGGGTATCCTTTTAATATTATAACACATTTCAACGGTTTTACAATGTTGATGCCAGACGTTATTTTTTTAAAGCTGGATCGAAACTCATTTGATGTAAAAGTATTAATTTACTCATTGTTATCGTTCAGTGTTAATATATCACTCCATAACCTTCACCTTTATACCCAGATGAATGTGATAAACTATAAGGGCCGTTTAAGGCATCCAGCCAAACCATCCCTTGCCCCTTTCCTTCCATGTGCTTATAAGGGAAGAATGAATACGCAGTCTGTTAAAGCAAGGTTTCTCCCCTAACCAAGGTCCCTATTTTGGCTAATATCCCTAACGTAAAACTCTTTTTTTTTCCCTCACTCTATGTACCTAAGTAAGGGTCTTTAGTCCTTTACTGGCTTAATGTGGCGTCATTTAGCCTTTCATAAACTCATAGTGCAAATTATAAAGATGCTATCGACTGCCATACAGATTTTGCTTATTATTTGTCAACTGGCGATAATTTATTGATGTTCTTTGTGAAGTTTGGGGAAACGTGATAGTGAAGACCGGAAATGGGTTATCACTTAAAACAAAAAAATAATATACAGTATATATAATGTAGTACTTAGCTTCGATTCATGTTAGCTACTGTAGTTTGATATTGTTAAACGGCATTATTCATCTTGCTTTCACGGCATTCATTGTTTATTTATACCATTGTTGACATTTATTTATTTTCTCTGTTGAATTGTATGAATTAGATTTTGTTAGAGATGCATGAGTTAGAATTTGTTTGTTTGTTTATCTATTTATTTATATGTAGTGTTGACACCGTTCTCACTGTTTTGTTGTTGAATGTTATGACTTGTAACTTTGTGGTTACTGAACAATAAAAGATGACATAATACTGAAGAATGTTATAGACATGTTTGTGTCTATTTTGATGCCATGACATAACCTGTACACACACACACACACACACACACACACACACACACACACACACACACACACACACACACACACACACACACACACACACACACGAGATGACTGACACTTCGATAAAAAAAGTTTGACTGACACTTGCATCAAAACGTTTATGACTGACACTTGGATCAAAACGTTTATGGCTGACACTTGACCCTAAACGTTTATGGCTGACACTTGACCCTAAACGTTGTCTGGCTGACACTCGGCCCTAAACGTTGTCTGGCTGACACTTGGCCCTAAACGTTGTCTGGCTCTCTGAAACACTCAATAGTCCCGTTAACTTTACCATACACATATTTGTTATGTCATTCTCAGTTAGATAAATAAATGATGTTAAGAGTATATAATAACCCGGCCCCTGTAACACGGCAAGTTGTGTGGACACGTTACTAACACCCTTGTAGCCACACACCACAAGGTCGACGGATACAGGTATGTGTGGATTCATTGGCGTTCCTCATATATTAGACAATAGTAAATAGAATGTAGCAGAAAACTTGAGAGAGAGTAATTTAGCTAAAGTTTACTTGAGAATGAAGGACTGTCGTTATTACACCTGGCATACATATCATGGCGCCTTTTGTCCACTTTAGGAAGTTCATAGATGTAGGCCAATACGATCACGCTTGCTGGTTACGTCCACATTTTTGGTTAGTTTCTGAAGTCACAGCTACAGCACGCAACACCCTCGCTGTAGTTGTTAGATCATGTAGACAAATTTTTATCACAGTGGTGACTTGGGATGCTCCCCTCCCCCCCCCCACCCCACCCAAATGTGAGAGCTGACGAAGGACAAGACTGATAGGCCTGTTTGCCGCTTGGGCTGTGGTCACGTCTCTGTAGTACTGAAATTGTATCTGTACCTAGTGATGATCAAGTCTGGTCTTTTCAAGATGGCGGCCATTTTTCAAGATGGCGGCCATTTTTCAAGATGGCGGCCATTTTCAAGATGGCGGCTATTCTCAAGTTTGCTAATTGAATTATACATCAACATAAATAAAAACTGTCTTGCAATTATTTACTAAGAGATGGAAAGTTTTAATTTGTGATAAACACCCAAACACTGAAAAAGTGCTCGGTATGCTTGTTATTGTTGTTGACTAGGCACTAGTGACCACGACTCAAGGGTGGCGCTCAGGTGAATGAGGAAACTTAATCAAAGTTACATTTAAATATTCATCGGAAAGACGTTGTTATTATGTTGATTAACAATTAAATCAAATGGGTTTTGTTCTCCAGGCTGTGCCTCTTAGTTTTATATGAGCACGAGTGTTTGGTGTACAACAATTGTTTATTACAATTGATTGTCGATATTTGGCACAAAAATATATACGCAGTCCTATCCATATTTTCACGTTTTTCCTTTCGAAATGCATAATTAATACACAACATTGTTATTAATGATATTACGCGCCCTATAATAATAAAGGCGTTAAGATTGCAATGCAAAAACTCGTTTGGCAGAGTGTAAAATAATTGTGTAGCAATTTCTCTGATCTAATCACTGTTTATGCTCTTCTCAAATCGATTTATGTTTAAATTACCGAAGCTAGATATAATTTCTTGTCTGGAATAGATGTAAGTAACCTGCATAGTGATATAAAGCAAGCAGTGAGATGATGGCGCAGTGTGAGGAGAATAATAGTCACCCCGGCGTCTACTGTTATCAGTGTTGTAGGTGTGGCGTCACTATTATTTCTCCCAAACTGTTTACAATAACTTCCATGTTCCATCCATATTGTGTGATGGAACGAAGACAAGGTAACACTATCACTTGCTTCCCTTACGCTATTTTGAGGCCTTTATGTTTGTGATGTGCAAATATTGTTCATTTTCCTTAAAGTTCACAATTGTTCTGAATCAAAATCATACGTGTAAGAACAAATAAATAAAATGTGGGTTGATCACTTACAAATCTACTCATCATGTGAATCATACTTTCTCTTAAGACAATGTTAACGTTTGATTTATTATGAATGTAAGAGTGAAGCAGTAATTTGTTGTTAAGAGTTTTGAGTGCTTAAAGGTAAGGTAACAAGGGAAGTGTAGTAATGTTATTGCCACTTGTTATCAAAACTTTCCTAAAGTTACTAGAATTAACTTAAGCAACAGTTTTATGTAGTTAAATTGGATATGATAACAAGTGAATTTGGTGGTAAGGCAGAGACTAGCTTTCAATAATGCTCGAGGAGATGGCTAACACCAGAAGGATTTGCTTGATGTTTTTAATTTCTTCCACATATTTTATCATAATAGTAAGTATTTTTAAAAGAGGTGAACCTTATATTTTATTTATATTACAGACAGACAAGGAGCGACCTAATTGAAGTGTGTAAACATCTCATAGGGCACCACTCGGTCGATTGTACTTACCTAGAGCTGGCGGTTCAAAAAGCCACAAGCTCAGAAAACTGTGAGGGCAAACTTTTTGGGAGAAAGAATTGTGAATTCTTGGAACAATTTGCCGGAGAGTGTTGTGGCGGCACCGAGTGTGAGCTCTTTCAAGGCTTGACTTGACCAACACTGGAGCAAGTTCAGGTACATTCAGGAGCCGGTGCATGCCCAGTTTTTGCCAACAGTGTGTAACATAGACGTGACCAATCGATCAGTGGCGAAGAGGATAAAAGTTAAAGTATATATATATATATATATATATATATATATATATATATATATATATATATATATATATATATATATATATATATATATATATATATATATATATATATATATATATATATATATATATATATATATATATATATATATATATATATATATATATATATATATAGGTATCTTTATCTATCATCATAATTCACTTGTAGTGGGCAGGGCATGAAGGATGAGGACAATTACTGGGTAAAACATGGTGAATATTGATCGTATAACACTAAAATTATATCAATGTGTTTTGTACGTGATTAAATTAATTATTTACCATATATATATATACTCCTCAGAAAAATCTGCAGTCACCACATGTTGCCTGTTTGTTTACAACTGACCCGCTCAGAGCGTATTCTCACGTCAAAAAAATAAAATAATAAATAAAAATATACCATGCTGCTTCAACAAAGTTCCTTTTTTTGGTACCAGATATCAATATAATTATTTTCCGTTTAATATGGCAGAGATACGGCTAGGAAGTTATGTAGGTGTTTTGGTTAGGTCAGGGTCTATTGGGGGTAAAGATTCATTTTAGGGCCAATAAGGAACTACCCATTTCTATTTATTTAAGGAGAAAGAGCAAAAATAAATAAAAAAATTACTCTAAACTATTATGTTCCATCACAATTTTTTTTTTTAGGTATTTTAACCAATATTACCAACAATATCAGTTGTTTTAAGTGGACAGGGCTTTGAAATACAGCAAAGGGAAATTGTGGGGTAAAATACTAAAAAGAATTCCAAATTAACCCATAAAGCCTTTCTTAACCTATAAAAATCTTAAAACTATAAAAAATTCTCAACTTATTCGTGTTTTAGGTATTTAGTATGTGATGATGGTTTGTGTTTTCAGTGTTCAGATAAGGAGGGATCCATAAACTCAAAAGTTATTCTTAACCTTTTTATAGGTTAGGTAAGGTTTTCAAAGGTTTGTTTGGTATTCTTTTTAATATTTTACCCCACATTTTCCCTCTGCTTCAAAGCAGGTGCAGATCCCGGGGGGGGGGGGTCCACACTCCTTTTTTTCATCAGAAAATTCCAATACTTTTTTCTTAAATGCAGTATTGTACTCAGGCATTTTTGTATAGTAAACTGTAACTACTGTACTAGTGACTTCAGACTATCTCTTAATATCAAGTGCACATGGCTTCAAAATAGCTTCACAATACCCATGATATTGGTTAGATTTAAAAAAAAAAATCTGGGAGGGGGGTGCTTACACTCTCCAACCCCCCCCCAGCTGGTTCAGCTCGCTCTGCTCACCATGGTCCCCCACCCACAACTTCTTGTACTCACACTTTTGATATTCTTGGATCTGACCCCATAAAGCCATGCCCACTTTGAACAACCATTAATGTTTGTAATTAGGGAGAGGGGGAGGATTATTGGCTAAAATATTGGAAAAATATAAATTTACGACAGAAACATAGAATACATTATTTTTATTTTTTGCCCCTTCTCCTTATATAATTAGATATAATATATGAAGTTCCTGTGTTCGACCTAAAAACGAATCTTTACCTTATTAGGTTCTAATACATGTCACCTCTTTTAAAATACGTACTTAATATAATGATAAGAATATTTGTGGAAAATTTAACGAAATCAAACAACTCCTTCCAGTGGCAGCACTGTTCTCATATATTACCAGTGTTTTAAAAAAAGGCAACAATTTTATATTTTGATCATAATTTTCTTTTTTAGTTATTTAGTTTTCTATATCTAGGATCATAAATCACTTGCAGTGGACAGGGCATAAAGGAGGAGGGGAAATTGTGTGGTAAAACACAGTGTAAAACTTATCATACGACACTAAAATGATTGCTATGTGCTCTGTATGCAAAGAAATAAATTATTTACTGTAAATATTCCTTTAAAAAATCTGGTGTTGCCTGCATGCGTTGTCGTCTGCTCAATTTGTATACAACTGACCTCGATCCGAATGTACTCCCATGTCCACAAAATATGTAAAATTACATCATGACGTTCAACAAAGTTGCTTTCATTAATACTATATATGAAAATAAGCGACCTGTTGTGTAATGGTCAGCATCCTCGCCTCGCAAGTGAGCAGACCCGAGTTCGATCCTCGGGCAGGGTGAAACTATGGGCAAGTTTCTTTACGTCATTTGCCTCTGTCTACCCAGCAGTAATTGGGAACCTGGATATTAATCGATTTGCGAATTGTATTCCGGGGTAATGGTTAGTCAGTGCAGTAAAGTGCAGTCCAGTCTTCTCAGACTATTCCGTGACACTGGGTCATGCAGCTCGTTAACTTAGGGTGTGGTTGTTGTGTTGGCGACAGCTTCTACACCTTAACAAATTCACGCCTAGGAGGCCCTTGGGCTGGCCATCCTCGATTTCGAGGGGCTTCCATTATATGAAAATACAGTAGTGTACTGTAAGTACTTTCACTTTAATATGGAGGGGCAAATTCCCCCACCCCCCACCAGCTATTAGGTAGGTTTATTTGGCTGGTTAGTTCAGGTTCTATTAGGTTCTAGAAAATGTCGCATCTTTTAAAATACTTGTTATAATGATAAGAACATCTTTGAAAAAAATTACCGAAATTGAACAATGCCTTCTGGTGTTAGCCATCTCCTCCATGATTACAGGATTACTTAGCTTTCATTGCTAAACAAAGCATTTTTAAAGAAAGAAATAGCATATGTAAATGTTTAGAATTATTTCACAGACAAAGGAAGGGTTTGTTTTTTAACCTATCTCAATTACCCCTTTAGAGGGCAAAGTAGCCCTGAGCTATTTTATTCTGGCTAACACCAGGTGAACAAAATCGAACGACTCCTTTTCGTGTTAGCCTTGTGCTCCACCATTACCCCCCCTCTCAAAAAACAATTTACATTCATTCAGCAAGCAAGGAAAAGTAACTCTGGATTCACTTAGGAAAAACAAGGTAAAAGTGGAGAACATAGTTAGAGAATAGAACAACCTAATGGAATTGAACCAAAATATCTGGAGATACTGTTTGTATGATACTAAACACGAAAATGAAAACAACAATGCACAGAACCTGACCTAACCACCATAACTTTATAGCTGGGATATTAAGCAGAAAGAACTCACTTTCTTGGAGATGTCATTGTGTAGATTTACATTTTTAGTTGACGTATAAGTACTATACAATTGCTTCGGTTGTTGCACTAAAACACATATTTCTTTGGTAAAGTTGGAGGAAACCGTTAGCACCAGAAATTGAACCAAAATTTCTGGAGATACTAATTGCATGATACTGAACAAAAAAAAATGGAAGCGAGATTGAACAGAATCTATTAAAAACTTTTTGTTTTTCCTTTTATCCTCTTCGTCACTGATTGGTTCATCAGCCACTTGAGTGGTCGTTCACGTCTGTTATGCACTCTTGGCAAGTACTGGGCATGAACTGGCTCCTGAATATATCAGAGCCTGCTCCAGTGTTGGTCAAGTCTGGCCTTGAATGAGCTCACACTCGGTGCCGTCACAACTCTCTATGACAGATTGTTCTAAGAGTTCACAATTCTCATTCTGAAAAAGTTTGCCCTCACTGTTTCTGGAACTTGTGGCTTTTTGAACCTTGAGCTGTGACCCCTTAGTGGGGCGGGAGTCCGTCAGCTTCAGGTATGTACAATCAACCGAGTAGTGCCCTCTGAGATGTTTATATACTTCGATTAGGCCACCCCTTGCCCATCTGTAGTATAAACTAGGCAGTTGCAGGCGTTCTAATCTCTCTGGGTAACTGAGATTTTTTGAGCAGGCACTAGTCCCTTGGACATTTTCAATCATTTGACAGTCTCTAGCATATCTCGGGGACCAGATGGGGTGACAGTACTCCAGATGGGGAAGCACCTAACTCTTGAAGATTGTGGCGAGCAACAAACCATCCAGATATCTAAACAACCTTCTTATAAGACCTAATTTCGTTGTCAACATACACACCCTGGTCCTTTTCACATTCAGTCTCAATTAAAAATCAGTTTCTTCGTCCTGTTGGAACAAGTGATATGCCTCCTTACTGTTGGTGTGACCCAGGTTCCTCCTCTTACACCTCGTGTCATTGAATCTTAGCAGCCATTTCTTCAATCATTCTTGAAGCTAATAGAAATCTTTCTGTAGCTCTTCACAGTCTGTTTAGTTCTTAATATCCCTAAATAACTTGGCATCATCTGCAAACATTTGCATGGAGTAGTGTATAGCCTCTGGTATGTCATTAATGAATCAGACAAACAACAACGGGCGCGATACACTGCCCTGTTGTACCCCACTTGTCACAGGTACACATGACGATTTCATGCCATTAATCACCACACACTAACCTTACCTAACCTCACCAAACTTTCTAACCTCTGCAGTGTCTTTTTGATTTTCTAACTTATTATCATCCAAACAACATCTCTAGAAAAATCAAACGAATTCAATCCAATATATATATTATATAAGCATGTCCGATGAGATTGTCATTCATTTCTTGACATGTAAACAAAGACCGTGAACGCTCCCGTATAGGAGAGGATGCAAACCAAAACATGGTCGCCACGGGAGATCTGACAGTGCCATAATTGCGGTAAATATTTTATTTCTTCGCCTACAAAGGACCTAGAGACGTGCTATATGATCATTGTTCACAGTGTTTTTACCCCATTATTTCCTTCTTCTTTCCTGCCCTCCCCACTTACAAGTAGCTTATGATCAAAGGATAGGCCAAAAATATTACAATTGTTTTATTACTCAGCATCTTCTTCTTGTGTCAGTTCTCTGCCAACTAGTTCATGTTGACAGCGGAACTCTTGGAGATGGGCTGCATCCTCCACAAGGACAGATAACTTGTGATACAAACAACAACGACAACAACCCACACAATACGTCATAACTACGGAGGGGAAAATCAAGATGGCTTTCTTGTCTCCCCTTGTGGGAGAATAATAAGTACCCTGTATAGGAACATACAGTTCACTTATTAACCATTGCTACTTAAAAGAAATTGGAAATGTTTCAAAAACCATAATATAGGATTTTATTCCAACAATATGATTCTCATCATTTATACATAGAATAGGTTTAAGAACCTATTGTGCCAAAAGAAAACAGTTAGGGATTTGCACAGACAATACACTCACAATTTTGGATAGTGAAGCCTATAAGGAAAAATAAAGTCACACCTATATTTATTGTAATAAAACCCCTGATATGAAACAACACCGTTTATTAGCAAGTTGAGCGAGACCGGATTCAGAATTTATTAGTTTAAGAGGAGAGCAACACGGGTCACCCTGTCAGAATTTTCGGCAGAGTATTTACTGAAGGAAATTAATTTATTTGCGTACAAAGCACGTAGACATGATTTTAGTGTCGTATGATTAGTTTTCATTGTGTTATTACCCTATAAATTCCCTTGTTTAATGGTATAGCTAGTAAGTTTAGCTGTGGCTTCGGATCTTCAAACCTTGATGGGATCTACATTGATGTTTTAATACATAGTTTGGCCAGTTGCATAATGAGGATCATTACCTAAGTTATATGTCAGGTGTGGCTAGTTCCTGCAGTGAGCTTCATAAAATATTTTTTAAACTTTTTTCTTTTCTTTCCTTCCACTTTGGGTCATTAGATCTGTGTTCTCTGCCTTAGAAGCAATATATCAGTGGAGATCCAGTCTAAAAACACTTAAGAAAAATTCCCAGAAAACAGACAGTGACAAATTCAAGACGCTTAAATAAAATAATTAGAGTAGCCTAGATACCAAAGGAGATAAGATTGCCCCAGTAACAAATCTCTTCTCCTTCAGGGACAATGGGTGTGGTGAGGGTGAGTGTTGTGGTGGTGTCTCTGGCACTTGTAGTCGGTGGTCAGCATATCAATGAAGATGAACTGCAGGCTCTTGGGACATCCACTATAAAGCAGATAGCCTCAGAAGATGCTGAACTTATTGGATTTGAAAAAAAATCGAAACAAAATTCAAATACAACTGGCACAGAGTTACAGGAATTTGAGGATCATGCTGAAGTGAGACAACAGGTTAGTGATACAGTATCTACTGTGTGTGTGTGTGCCTCCTCTCCATTACTTTGGGTTGATGACAAGCCAGAAAATTGGGATGTTTTCAAGGATTTCCAAGTACAAGTCCTTGTTTGTTAATCTCCTTTCAAAATATGTAGGATCTTATTCCATACTATACTCTCCAGATTGAAAAATAACTGCTCTAAGTGTTAACTCTGGTTCTTCTGGGTCTGAGGAACAGAACCTTTTTTTTCAGTTAGTTATTAATATTGATATACGATCGATAGCCTCGCGATTGGTTTTTGAAGTCCCTAACTCCATTGTATAGTGGTCAACACCTGTAGCTATATCTGTACAACGTATAGTGTAGACTCCCTGTCCTGTGAGTCACTTGCATGTTGAGAATTAGTTCTCTGTAAGTAATCCATGAATAGCTACAGAAGTGTAAGACTCAAAGAGTTTTTGGCAAAGTATGGTTCAGAGGTACAGTACTGTATAAGATTGTGACTTAAGTACCATGTGAGTGATGCCCAAATAGTAGAGGCAACTCCAATACTATATTATTGACAACTACTGTGCTGAGGTAAGGCAAGGTTTTAGGCCATGGCAGGAACTAAAGATAATATAATTACAGTACTGTAATAAAAAGTAAGGTATATTTTAACATCGTTTATAGATTTTAAAGATGTTTTGATATTTTACAGCTGGCTGACCTGCCATTTAATGAACAGAACACTATGAATTTCTCCAAGCAAAAGGAAGCAGATGGATCAGACCCAGGAGTTACAACAACAGTATTACCAGAACCTCTGCCCACACCTATACCTATTAAAGTTGAAGGTAAACATTTGTGAAAAACTTTATTAAAAGAGCACAGTAAAGTATTGCAAATTTATGGGGTTAGGTTCCTCAAGACCTTGCACACTTGATTTATGAAAGTCTTAAAGGAAAAATAGGATCAGTTCCACCTCTGCTAGCCACCAGTTTACCTCCCTCCCCATCAGCCATATGTACAGTTGGGGACTTTTCCAACTGTTACACTCAGCATTGTCAATCCACACTCTCCATAAGGTGTGAACCTTGAGAGTATCGATTTGTGAACCCAAAGCAGTCACCTAGTCTAGGGTTTATACGGGATGGCCTGGAGTCTCTAAATATTGTGTCCTTTTACAACTTTCATGACCCAATAAATAACGGATGCATTTAACTATACAGTATTGAATTTTAATATCAAAATATTAATCTTGTATAAATAATACATAAATATTGTTTCTTGTCTGTCCAACGCACTGGGACAGCTCTTTGTTAAATATATTCCCAGACTCCTGAATAAAGTCAGGTCGGGGGAGGGAGGGTGGGCTGGGTATGAAAATTGCTGGTGTTAAGTAAAAAAATATAACATTATTACACGAATGGGATTTGTGCATTTGGCTTCTTTGTACCGTACAAAACACCCCTAAAGGGGGGTTGGATATCTTCATTGGCAATTGAGTGCCCAATGCCACATGAATTTGTTTAAGGTGTAGAAGCTGTTGCAATACAGCAACCACACCCTAAATTAATGAGTTGCATGACACAGTTAATGAGTTGCATAACCCAGTGTCAAGGAATAATCCGAGAAGACTGGACAACTCGCCAGCTACACTGGCTAACCATTACCCTGAAACATTACCTGCAAATTGATTAACATCCTGGTCCCCAATTACTGCTGGGTAGCAAAGGCAAATGGCATAAAGAAACTTGCCTATAGTCGGAAATCAAACTAAGATTCACTCGCTCGCAAGGCGAGCATACTGACCATTACACAGACACACACACCTTTGCCTTGACAACACCAACTTGGTATCACCGCCACACACATCAAGGCAGCACTCTAATATTAAAGTGCAAAGGCAAACCTTTGACTTTTTTTTTTATAGGGATTAGCCCACCTGGGCACAGGTCACTAACCCACATCGGGGCCAGGGGGACGAAAATGTTATAATAATAATAATAATAATAATAATAATAATAATTATAATAATAATAATAATAATAATAATAATAATTCAGATAAGTAAAATTAAAAAAAAATAAAATACAAAAATAAAAATAATGAAATAATAATGATAACAATAATGATAATAATAATAATAATATTAATAATCATAAAAATAATAATAATAACACTGCAATAATAATAATAATAATAAAGAACCATAAAGAAATTAAATAAAAAAATATAAAGAGTGAGAAACAATATACTGTATATATGTTGTGTTGTCAATGTTAAGAGAAACAATTGAGACCCTGCAATTGTGTGTAAATGAGGCAGAAAGTTAGATCAGCAACCTGGGACTTGGTCACAATTTTTGTGATGCCCTTTGGCAGCAGGGTCTACCATTTGACAATACATTATGCTTCCAATACCTTCCCAGGCAGTAGTACCTCCCTGTTTGGTAGCTGCCTATCTACCTACTACCTGGAGATATGATTATTGAATGTATAATTTTTCCATTACATATCATTAATAATGAATTGAAACTTCATAAGTTTATCTAAAACCGTCAGTAATTCATTTCTTTAACACAATCAGAGCAGATGTTGCTAATAAAAGTTTATAAATTTTTTTGCAAGCAGCCTTGAACCTCAAAAATACCTTAGCTTTCGTCTTTATTCAAGACATTTTCAGGTCATGAGACCCACTAATACTCCACCCAACAATGGGTGACCTGACAGTGCATCAGGTCAGGTCAGTAACAGTTTCATTCATGAGGGGCTACACACGCTCAATTTATATAGATGTTTATTTTTTTTAATACTATATATTTATTTAACCAAACTTTAACTATGCAGGTTTATTCTAGTAAAGAAATGGAGTTTCTAACTTAATTAGAGCAGCTCTTACAGACGCCAGTAGTTTATACTCTCAAAAAACTTTCTTCAGCACCTAGAAATATTCTGAGGATGTGGGCTAGTGTCTTTCTGTGCAAGATGCTTTGTTTAGACTTTCGGAAACTTTTCCCAGTTAATCGGAAAAAATTCCGGGGATAAGGGATTTATCCGGGCTTGAGAAAGTCGTCTGGTTATCCGGAAATCTCTCATCCCCAGAAGTGCTCTGCACCAATTGTTCTGACTAATGGGGATATCACTTTATATGTTAAACCTAAATACTGTACAGGTACTGTATATAAGACTAATCCCTTTGAGGTTGCTGGACAGTAATATTGTACTGTACAGTACAGTACCATGTTCTCAAGTACCTATCAAGTTTTAAAAGGGTGGAGTAGTTGAGAAGACACAACACTTGCTCTCTGTTCTAGGGTTCCTGGTTCACTGCTGGGGCATCCTTCATCCACCCAACTGTATATGAGAAGTAAAGGTGATTGGGTTTAGTGCCAGACTCACTGTGTCCTTTTGTAGTGAAGGCTTAGTGTGCCCTTTCCTGCATTTTTTTTTGACCTGTGAGATTTGGGTATTTTTTAGAAGGCATGTGGTCTCAGTTTGCTCAATCAACTGCTGTTTAAATCCTTTATCCACATCACCCTCATACATAACTATTCCGTCTATGCCAATTTGAAATTTAAACCTTCTGATTGGGCTTGTCTTTTTATAGCCATTAGTAGCATTGTAAAGAGTTTTAAATCTAGGTCCATTCTTCCCATATCCTTTCAAGCACTGTTTATATAGTTTAGCTTTTGCATGATGGTATACTTAACATGCTTCCTCTATACACCACTACATTTAGCACTATCTTTTTATACGCTTGTTGGACTGTTGAAATGGCAGTGAACAGAAAACAGTGATGATTTTCAAAAACTTTTGCTTCATATTAGTGGTAATTTTTAAAGTGTGTGTGTTTACATAGCATGCACCAGCCACTAATTTAGAAAAAAAAATTGAAAGATGGTCATTCAATAAAGAGTTGCCAATTAGACAAAATTTTTGACTGAAAACAAACATTTCCAGTAAACAGTAGCCAGACACAGAAAACTGAGCTTGGAGATGCATGGAAACAGCAATGTGAAGATTTATACTGTGGATTTTGGAGGAACACTTTTTGCTTTGGTAGGTTGTAGAAGTGGAGCATAATCATTTATGAACTTCAAAACCCCTTAATTTTTTGTAAATTGAGTTTTTGAGAGTTTGTATGCAAGAATTTGTGATCTAGGAAAGTACAGTACAGTATCCCTATTTTAGCCATGAGAAGTTAAGATTGATAAAAAAAAAAAAATTATTGATAATGATTCCCAACAGAATCGTATATTGTTTTCAGTCAAGAGTTTTCTGTACACTAGCATAATGTATACTGTATACTGTACATCTATTACAAAAATTATTGGACAGTTTAATTAACACACTGATACAAATGTGGTTCCAGAGAGTGTTGTTGATGAAGATAAGCCTATTAAATCAAGGAAAGGGGCACCAGGGCTACCGGTAACTGAGAAAAAGGTAAGTACTAATAAACATTCAACTGTAGGAAAAAAAGGAGTCATAGAAGACGGTAAAACACAGAATTCTTCCTCTGCCTTACAAGAGGAAGGTGCCAAATCTCCAGTATCATTGATTAATAATTTCAGTAAGGGTAGAATAAAGACTATTGATCAGAATACAATGCCTGCCCTTAATAACTTTGAAAAAACTAATGGAGAACTCAAAAGCAATTTGATTGATAAAAAACAAGGTGTTTTATCTGTTAGTGAGGAAAGTGATAATGCGACCCTTAAGTCCCACAATGCCACTGAAGTTCCTAATAACTCTTCCCAACCAATTGTGTCAAATGCAACTGCCAATTCAAAATCTGCAAACAAAATTAATTCCAAGCCAATAGCTGCTACTGATGATACAGCGGGCACAACTTCTGGAAATGAAGATGTGAATTATGGAGCAGTTTCATTAGGGCTTTTACTCTTGGTGGCTCTCGCAGTAGTGGTGGTTGTTGGGTATCGAAAGTTCAAAGATATTTGGATGAGAAGGCACTATGCACATGTGAATTATCTTGTTGATGGAATGTATGAGAATGACATGTGAAAATTTTTTTGGTGTGTGAAATTATACCCCAAGTTTTATATTTTATGAATGAACTGGTTGTTTGTATACAGTACATGGGTTTTATATGTGATTTGTACCAGTGTTTGGTGACCATGTTGAACATTAAATTTTCTACACATAAGGTGTAAAGTGTGATCTTTGAATTTATATTTCTTAATTGTTAAAAAAACTTAACTGGTCTGTAATTGTTGTTTTCCATAACTGATGTATCTTCATTTTCTCCTGTAATTGAAGTTTCCATGAATGAGGACAACTTTCTTTGAGAAGGTGAAGTTTATGCATTTGATGATGGGTATTAATAATTAAGGAGTTTATCACACCAATGATATGAATAAGTTCACCTTTTTATATGGACCAATTTTATAAAATGATCTCTAGCATTTAAAGTAAATATAAACACTATTATTGTAATAATACTGTGTAGCCACTTTCAGTTGTAGGCAACAGTTCAGTAGATTAATTTTTACAAATTATTAAAGATTTATAGATGAAGAAAAAAAATCTGTCTTTTTATTAAAATGTTCTGTTTTGCCTAAAATTGTAGCAGTGAAGCAGGTTCAAGTTTACTTTTATATTTGGTGATTTTTAAGCTTCACACAAAAATAGTACATACTTAACTTGATGTTTACTGTGCTGTTTAGGTATTTTTTTTTATAATTTATAGTGCAATAGTATTATGTTGACATTAGGTTTAGTCTGTTGAATTGATTGTTTCAGTTTAAGTAATTTTTAGAACTACTTAATGTGCAGTACTCGCCATTTATTATTAAACTATGGTGTGATGCACATTGGAGTTATTGTGAGCTATTGTGTTTATGCCTGTTAGTATCAGTTGTCTCATCTGTATGTTTATAATGCATGTAAATTGAAGTTGTTTCCTTTTGTGTTTGATACAAATAGAGCATCTTTGTTTTTTCATTTGTTGTGATACATATATACGGTGCTTTTCCTTTTATCTGAATTCCAACTTTGCAAATCTTCCAGGTACACTTTACCCGAACTTTGTCTCCTTTAGTCCCATTCGATTAAAATTCTAATTTAATCCAACAACCCAAATACAGTACAACCGAAGTCATTCGTTCATGTGTCTATCACCAGTGGTACTGTACCACTTTGTTTACAAGTGTGCTGGGATTTTTGGTTGATAAAAGGAGTTGGGCTCTAATTTCTTGTTATGGTAAACAATAAAATTGATACATAGCATATCATAAAATACAATAGGACATATTGTATGTAAAAAAAAAAATGCTTCCAGGCTCAAACCATTCTCTGGGCAATACGACACAGTTCACCCAGGCAGTCAACCAGCTGACTTCTAGATGTGTGTGTGTGTGTGTATGCTGGAACGTCACGTGCGGGTGGGGCTGGTAAATTGGTGATGCACTTGCAGCCTAGTGCCTCCACACACATATATACTGTACACTCATGCTCTTAATTTTTCTTATTTTATAATTTTATGTGATATTTTCTTTATTTTTAAGCCACATTAAGTATTGTATTTTAATGATTTTCCACGACATTTATACAGTAGTTTCATCACAGGTAACATGTACATCCTCTTTATTTTTCTTATTTCATAGGTTTATATTATATTTTCTTTATGACTAAACCACATTACAGTAATGACTATTCCATAAATTTTATAGTTTAATTACATGTAACAATGGCAACAGGCCATATCATAGGCCACCTCATCCTCAGTTTATTCCCCTTCCCAGTCGGTCAAGCTATTGCTGAATAGAAGTTTGACCTAACATTAATTATTGCATGTCCAAGCCATCATTGATCCTGATGAGTTTGGATAAAAGGAATTGCACTGTATATGGGATGTGCATGTCAAAAGTAAGTGTAACCATGCACTGTTGTTGTGATGTTGATAAAAGTGCTCTTATATATTTTTATGGAGTATGTATGAGCAGCTTTGATGCTTCTATAATATGACAATAAGATACAATGTCATTGCTTTATGGTGCTAATCAGTGTATCAGTAATTCATTCCATGATATTAGGGTGTTTTTCTTTACATAGGTGTAAAGCTAGTATTTTGTGTACAGTAGTTGAAATACCATTGTGTATTCCAGGTATAAATGTATTTTGTACATCTTTTTTATAAATATTTTTATATTCCAAGTACTGCACAGTACTGTACTTGCAATTAGAGTTAATCCTCATGGGCAGCTAACATTACAATTCCTAACCATAGTAGTTGAGTGGTATGAATAACTGTAAGCATCATTTTCCAAGTAATGTGAGGAGATAAATACCATAAACTTCATACAGTATAAGTTTAGGGCCTCATTTCCCCTTTAAAACCTACATGTGCCTTATCTCTGGTTAAGCACTGTACAGTTTATTATGTATGATCTGAATTTTGTACTGTGATTGGTTTGTGTCCAAATATATATATCAATCAGCATATCTACTCTTTATGTTTCAATTTTGCAAACAATTATTTATAAATAACATGTCTTGCAAATAATTATAAGTAATTGTTTACAAGTGAAAGGCCATTACTGTATAGATACCAGCTAAGGTAGATACCCTTGCACTAATGATATGATGAAATGGAGTTAAGATAAATTAGCCAGTCATGCAACTCTCAGGTGTACCAACAGCTGATCAGTTTTGACTGCAGATGTTGGCAATTTGGAGTTTCTCTCTTCATAGTCAAGCTTATTATTTTGCTGTATCTCTGTGTATTTCATTTGCAATGAAACTATATATAGTGTACAGTTTTTTTACACAGTCTCTTGAGTAGTAAGCTCATCAACTTGCTGGTCTCTTTACCTGTGTTTGATTATAGGGTACAATGTTATAGTGGGATAGAGGAAACTTGACCCATGTAACCCCATATCAGACCAACAGGATTCTTGCCTACCAGAGGGGTTTTTCTTGTGAGGGGGAGGAGTTACATATTACTATAGTCTTAGCAGTGGGTTGTAAGCCTTCATCATTTGATGCAGGTGTTTCAAATAACCCCAACATAAAGAGGAAGTATACAGTATTCTATTAACTGTTGCAGAAAAGTTTCCTGTAACCCAACAACTGCAACATACATCATATAATGAAATTATTATTATTTCAAATTTGGCACCTAATTATAGCTTCCATACATGATTTGGTAGTCTACTTACGTCCTCAGTGTCAGCGTAGTCATTATGGAGAGTAAACATACATGGCATCCACACTATCTGTAATTTTTTTAAATACTCGGGTTACTTATTAGTATCCTGAAAGCACCCTCCGAGCCATAATTAATTGTTTTTAACCAAATTTTCCATAAAAAGTTTTGGGTTACCATTTAGTACTCTGACAATATTATTGGAAAGTTTGGGATAAGACCTCGGGTGTGGGTAGGCACCCGAAAGACTTATCCCGAATGTTCAAACTAGTTACAGTACATATGAATAGAAAAGGACTCTGAAATACAATATACTGTATGTAAATTAGGATGAGATAATAAAGAAAACAAATACTGTACTTAAATGTCCTAATAACCAGTTTCGATGGAAATGTATACAGGTACTCCACGACTTACTCGACTTACAACCTGGATTTGGGTCCCTTACCCCGTCGTAAGTCGGGGACTGCCTGTATATTTTTAAGAGACCGCCGTGTACCCCGTGATGCTTTACCTTCAGCTCCAAAGATTTTTCGTCACCCCATTGCCTTTCTCCAATTTTATCAAGCACTGCATTTCTACACTCATCCTCTTAAAGCTTCAAGTATGGTAAGTAATGCACTTTTGTTTGTGATAGACAGATGTAATGTCATTTCCAATGAGCCAAATGTACTTGATAGATTGCTGAGGTAATTGTTTACAACAGAGTCACCTGTGACCCACGCTGATAATTACCTTGAAAAAAAAATCTCCTGCTATATTTCACTTTTTGGGTTGTTGTTCCGGTTGTGTTTAGGCACTACCAATGTTTGTAAGTTTAGGTTAGGTTACACAAACCTTATGAAGAGAGGCTGGAGGAATTAGGCTGGTTTTCATTAAAGAAACGTCGACTCCAGGGTAAATTAATCAAATGTTTTAAAATATTCAAGAGTTCACCAACATTGACCCAAACTATTTAGACTTGATGATAACTCTCGTACTAGAAGTAATGGGATGAAGCCAAGATGTTGACAGGTACAATTAGACTACAAAATATTTTTTCACTAATGCCATTTTTAGAGAGTGGAATAAGCTTCCAGCTTCAATTATTGAAAGCATTATGATTAACACTCAAAAGTCACCTTGATTGCTACTTCTCTGACGAAGAATTTTTTTTTTTTAAGGGACAGACCACCTCAAATGGACCTAAGGGTCTGTGTTTCTATGTAAATCTATGTGTATCTCAACATATATGTCATACATCTTCTTTCTTTGCTTGTAGGAGCTTCCATATTTATCATTTTCTCGTGATGTGACTGGCTCAAATCATGTGACGCCAGTGCTTGGTATTTTCCCCAAGATATTGGTATTTTGGCCTCAGCCTTTGGATCAAGTTTTATTTCTGAAAATATAGGTACAAGTATTCTTGGCATTTATTCATCATAATATTTAACATTAATCTGAATTATTACTACAAAATAATACTACTCATAATTGGAAATTACTTGCAATTCATTTAAGGAACAGCACACGATACATGAACGGTTCTTGTATCTCGTGACGACCCATCTGGACTCTGTACTTCTGCAACCGTACTATACCCTTTCCACTCTAACGTGGGCCATAAGCCTCACCCCTCGTATATACCTACAAATACCGGTAGCTAATTGGTTCCCCTGAGCTTCTTACCTTTCCCCGGACTGCGTGTACAAGCGCATATTTATATTGACCTTCTATAATAAATATTTAAAATTTTATAACATCCTCTCTGGTGCTAATGCCTTGATATCATTTGCATTTTGATAGTTCAGATAATTATTTAACATTATTTTAGGTAATAACAGGTTTAGTTACTAATTGTGAACACATTTAGTTTGAATTTTCTATGAACCAATCAGCTATTAGTATAGAAAGGGGGCGTGGCTTACGGGCCACATTAGTGTGGAAATATTACAGCCTCTTTTTTTAGTGAGGGGGAAGTGAGGACACCCATTCGTGGTTTATCACTGGCAATACTTATGCTTGCCTTAGGTAGTTGTATGGATTAGCCTTGCCCATTTAGTGATTTTCTTTCATCATATGCCTAAATTTACGCTATGGTTGGGTTTGATAATATTGAGATTCATTTTTTATTATAAACATCTGACTGCAGGAGCAAAAATCGTCTGGAGTCAGCTTGATTCAAGGGAAATCAAGAAATCCAGTATAGTTCATGAGGTATTCTTTTTGTATGCCAACACAAGTGCTGGCACATATGAATCGTACCAGGTTGTTAAGTATCTCTTAAAGACTTTGAATAAATCTGTGTTCCAGTATTTTTTAAGGGAAGACATTAAGTACAGTCCAGTGGACCCTATGATGTGTAGGAACATAAAACTCTCCAGCAGTAGGTATAGAAGCATGTTAAAGCAGACGAGGTTGTAGAAGGAAGAAAATAAGAGGAAATTTTTTTTAAAGAAGCAGTTAGAATCAAAGAAAAGAGAGAGTGTGGAAATGGCTCAAAATCAAGGAAGAAGCCTTCCAGCAAAAAAAGCAGAAGAATTTATTCTCCCTGAAAAATCTAGCTGGTGCAAATAAAACTAGGAATAAAACAAAACAAAATGAGTGAATATTACATGGGAAAGAAAACTAAATATTTTGTTTGTATATATCAAGGAACATGCTTATTTTTCTTATTTAAGTACTACAGGTACATTATGCTATTGAAACTCCAGTTGCTGGTGCATTAGAGATAAATCCCTTGATAAGTATTAAATTTTGAATTCTCACACATTACAGTGCCAAAAAAAAGCTTACAGTTTGGTTTATCCTCTCTCAATAATGGTGCACAATTAAATATATTAAATAAATTCAAGTTTAGTAACAACTAAAATTTGTAAAGGAATTATTAAGACTATAGGCATGAAAAATATTGTTGCAATAAATATACAAGTTTATTTTGAGTACTATGTATTTTAACTATTAGGTGCTCACGAAATGAGTAACAATGTGAGAAATTAAGTTAAATATTTTAAAAACTTCCCGTGTAGGTGTTACCCCAGACCCCCCAGCTCAAAAATTTGTTTCTGTTTTTTCAAGACCCAATCACATCCCTGTTTTGTACATATTGTATGTAATTTAGCCTGTAAATTATAAACACATATGTTTTTCACAAGGCTATGAACCAAACTTGCACTTAAACATTGAAGACTACAGTATATTGAATGGACAACGAACCCATGAGCTCAGCTCTTGGTGCCTGTACTATGCACCCCTTGTGCCCTTCTGTTATCATAGGTTAAATATCAAGATCAAGATTAATTTCTTGGTTTTGGGACAAAGTTCTAAGCAAGGTGGTGTCCCTGCTGCAGCTTCACATAGTACAGCTCCTCCCCGACTTACAACCACCCGCACTTACGACCTGCCTCAGTCGTACCCAAATTTGGTCAAATTACGTATTATTGAGTCCCAAAGTCAGTACACAGACAAAATCTTCATTTGTAATTCACTTTATAATGGCTGGCAAGCTTAAAAGTGAGTGTTTTGTGGTGCTGAGAAGAAAAAGAGACACCCATTTTAGATTTTCTATGTATTAAGCATTTCCGACTTATGACCAATGACCATTTTGACTTATGACCTGGTTGTCGGTCCCTAACCCCGTCGTAAGTCGGGGAGGAGCTGTAACCTATTTTCTGTAACAAACTCTTAAGGTGGTAAATAATAGTCCTGTATTCATCTATTTTCTGTAACAAACTCTTTAGGGGATAAATAATAGTCCTGTATTCCTTTATTTTCTGTAGCAAACTCTTAAGGGGATAAATAATAGTTTTGTATTCCTCATCATTTAATACCTCTAACATGGCACAACTGGAGAAGACAGCTCTCCCTGGGGTCACAAGATAAGTTTTCATAACAATATTAATAACATCATAATTACCTCCCTGATGTAGTCTTTGGTGTACCTAATGCAAAGGGAACTTGAAGGGCGTGGTGTAAGAGGGAGTGAATTTTGAAAGGCGTGGTATTGTAGGTAGAGGACTTTGGAAGGCGTGGTGCGAGAGGTATGGGACTTTGGAAGGCATGGTATGACAGGTATGGGACTTTGGAAGGCATGGTATGGCAGGTAGAGGACTTTGGAAGGTGTGGTGTGGGAGGTAGAGAACTTTGGAAGGCGTGGTATGGCAGGTAGAGGACTTTGGAAGGCACAGTAAAGTACAGCGGAGTCGAGGTTTAGGCTTTTTAGGAGGCGTGAAGGTCTTGGAGACGCGATGGGCAGCGTGGAGGCTACAGGCCGAAGATTCTTTTCCACCAAGGCTGACGAGGGCGAATTATCCTCCTGGCCCTTATCTCGTTGTTCTCAGGTGGCCCATTCTCCACCTGTTGAGGACAACTTTCATTACAACATTTAGCCAGCTGGTTACCAACACAAATTACCACCTGTAGTAAGTTGGTTTTCATCTGTGTTATCAAATCAAATTATAATAGTAGCCAGCTGGTCACCACCTGTTTATTTTCTCCTCGGCTAGTGAACTCCCCAACTGTTAATGATAAAGCTAATTATAATATGTAAACACCTGAGCATCGCTTCCCCAACTGGCTTTTGACATTACCTACACTGAGAAATACGGTACTAAAATGTTTGCTGCTGTACCCATGTAGTACACTTACCGCCCGTAAGATTAATAGATTGTCAGAAATATATGTCAAACTGAGTAAATAAGAATTATAGAATAAAAACTAACTGGTGCTATATGAACCTATCTAGTTAGTACTGTATTGGGTAAACTTAAGCCGTTTCGGACGTTCTTTCGGTGCGTTTTTTACATCTACAGTTAAAATGAAAGTACATTTGAACCTTTGAGAATCTAAACCCAATTATAAATTTTATATTAAAGAAACTTCCAAATTTGATACATAGTACATATACTATTGGTGTGTATTTCTAGGATACTGTCCAAGATTGATTAATTCCCAAAATATTTATCCGGGTACAACATAATTCTAAAACAGTGCAGCACCTTGTCATGCGTAGAGGAAGTTAATTATCAAAATTGAAGAATCTGGTTGAGATGCTGCCATGGTAGTACAGACACAAATATTCTCCTTGAAAATGAAGAAAACACAGTACAGTACATCCCAGAATCTACTAGTACGAGAGAACATAAAATAAGATATGAAAATTGTAAAAGCAAAAATAGATAAGTACATTAATAAAAAATGCAAAATCATATATGGGTCCAGACAGTGAATACCAAACGAATTTAGTATGAAACAAATATTTAAAAAATCCACCAATAAAATGGTTGATCCCGGGTGGGTAAAGATAAAAATTTATGAAGATTGTAAATGTAAACACAATCCTAAATGTGACATGACAATTGGGTAATTTTTTTTTATGGTGGACAGTATGCGTGTGGTTTTAATAATTTTGTAGCTCTAAATATTTTCTCATATAATCGAAGAGAGGGGAGTGGTAATAACCTTGAAGGCATCAGAGGTGCCGTGGTACTGGGAGACTCCGCGAAAGAGGGTCTTGTGGTGTCCAGTGTGGGTGATGCGGTAGGTTCCTGGGGGAGTGTCCACAGGGATGTCCCATTTAACGGTGGCCACGCTTGTCCCCAGCAACGACGACACCCGGTCCCAGATGAACCTGCAACAGTGTAAACAAATGTACACTTGTGTCCTATGCCATATAAGGCATATTAAAAACTACATATGCACACCATGTCTTGCATTCTATAATACATATAAAGAGCTGTACGTAGAGGAAATACATACTGTTCAGTCAATATTACAAACTGTGGGTAAACTATGAAAGTGTAAGGAAAATTATATTACGTAGAAACTGGAGCAACATTGTGTACAATATCCCCAAATTTAATGCCAGTGATTTTAGTCTCCCGGGAAGTAGTAGACCACCTTGGGAGAGGGACTCACCTAGTTTCCCAGCTGGCGTCTGTTGCCACCACCTGCCAGTCCCCTGCGTCACTCTGTCGCTCCACCGTGAGGAAGGTCCCACCCAACTGAACGTCGTTCCTGGGATGCCCCGACACCTGTCGACACATATACACGTTACAAAGGTCCCACAGTGTCAGTTTGGGCCACAGACAATTACATGGGGCTATATAAAAACACCCAGGGCTACAGAAGGACAGTCTGGGCATAACAAGGGTCTAGTGGTGACACATAAGGGCCTCCAGGGCCAAACACAGGCAAGCAATTTCCTTAAGAGGAGAAGAGACTAGTAAGGGCATGAACAAATAAGGTAATCGGAAGTGATAAATTAGAGGAGAAAGAATGAGCTAAAGAGGTAACGGAGGAGAGAGGCACATGTGTGTGGTATACAGTACTCATAAACTTGGAGGAGATATACTCGTAAAACTCACAAACTTGGCGGTGACTGTCTCCCCAGTGTAGGCCAGGGGATAGGGCTGGGCAACCACATCACCGAAGGCAGATCCAGGGGTAGTACCGTCAAACATCACCCCTGGCAGTAGTGTGATGAGATACGGCGACAGGTCTGGTGGAAATGGTCCTGCTGGAGGAGTTTCACCCTGTAGGAGGAGGAAAAGGAGGGGGGGGGGTTAAAAAATAAAATTTACATACACAAAAACTAAGTGTGTACTTTAACTTTACATAATTATATAGGTATTGATGTTCAAGAGACGACTGGAGAAGCAAGAAGCATATCAAGAGTCCGGTACCACTACTAATAGAATGTATTTCAGGCCATTTATTGTATTATGTAAATTAGTTTAAGGAGAATTATTGCTGAAAAAGTGCCTTGTACGAGACAATAAAGAAACACAGAATATACCAACACAGCCACATCCTCACTTATATTTAGTATGACCGACCCTCTCCTTTACAGGCTTTAATGGACCATCCAAAGGAAGATTCGGCCACATATGTTTTGATTTCTGTACATCTATCATTACAGCTAATGTTACTTCACAAATACACAACATTTTCCACGTGTTTAAGTTCCCTGTTGCCTATCATAATTTTTATTTTAGGATTTATTTCCAATTTGAAAACAACCATTACTTTCGTCTTTACAGCATTAACTCTTCACCCATATTATTCAGCAATTTGTTAACGAGTTTTTGTAATGCCTCTTCACTATCTGTGATAAGAGTAGTATCATCTGATTGCGTATATTTGATATTACTTTACCATTAACTTTTGGTAATTCATTTTCACATATAACTTCTCTCATTAAGAATTCTTAATATATATATACAATGTTGAGAACACAGCCTTGTCTTACTACCTGTCTAACTGTGAACCAATTAGTAAATTCATTATTACGTACACTACAGCCTCCTGTTGGCCTTAAAAATTCGTTAAAATTATAATATCTCTTCATTAATGCTTATTTTTCCAAGATATTTATATGCTTATTGTGCTTTACCTTATCAAAAGCGTTTTCAAAATCAACAAAGATGTACAAATTTCTTTGGATTTCTAAAGCTCGTTCACTCAATTTCTCATTATGATAAGTGTCTTCAAGCAAAAAAGAGACCAGTAGTCTCACCTATAGATAAATAATGTACTGCAATAAAAATAAGGTAATATTGCAGTAAACAGCAGCCACAGAACTTTTTTTTTCTATGATCATTTTCATTATATTACACGCGCCTGTGGGGAGGCGGGGGGGGAGGGAGGGACTGTCGGGACATTTTGAATCAGTTGCAACATGGAGCCATTGTGTGCGGGGTGCGATTTCGATTATTGGAAGTTTATTGTATAATTTCATTCTAAAAATAAGGAAACTTTAGAGAACAGAGGAACCCACGACGCATTTTGGCCCCTGATTCGGAGTAAGGTAAGAAATACTGTAACGGCTATTTATATTCTCGTGGAGGCAGATCGGGCAACTCTGGGTTATTACATAGCGTTTGGGGGTCCGGGGGCAAAGTCCCGGCTATGGTCACCGGGGGTCCGGCTAGGGGGCTAGGTAAGGTTTAGTTTGGTTTTATTGTATAAGTTAACAAGCACAGAGTACCGGGAATTCAGAAAACGCAATAGATAGAACTATTATAAGAGGAGGGGGGGGTAAATCCAACACGGATGATTTCCGATAAAAACGAATGTCAGATTTGAACCATTCGCATCAAAATCCATCAGAATTTTTTTAATTAGATTTTTTGGTTGCTGTAATCTTCATTTTTACCAAAATAATTTACCCAAGAATCACGATAGACTCACATTGATGACAGCGTTGGCGAGGTAGGCATACTGTTGCCTGTAAGCATAGCAGGTGTAGGGGCCGTAGATGGTGGAGGCAGCCTCGTAGCGCTGTGCCTGGTACTCGTCCACGGTGGCGACGTAATGTGTGTAAACGTTACTGAGGCCAGCGATCACCGGCACCATCCCCTCCAGTCCACCAGCAGCGAATGTGGCAGCCACCTGTAGGAGTGATGGTGTGTTAGTACAGTAATGATAATACCACCTGTTGTGAGTGTGGCATGACACTAACACCAGCTACACGAGTCACACTTAGCGCACTACTGTACCAGCCACTTGCAGCAGTTCAAATTACCTATTGAGTCACCTGTACATTATTAGATGCTTCGTGACTCACTCACAAGGCATCAGATGGCAGGTAAGGGCTAATGACAACTCAGGGAGCGTCTACAATAACGAAACATGATAACATCTTTAGACAACAGCTGACAACAATGTTGGTCACATGAAAGCACAATTGTGGGAAATAATGTCGGCAACAGTCTGAGTAAAAGAAACCATCGATGTTGGAAACATGTAAAATAAACACATAGTCCACACCAGTCAGGCGACTTGACAGCAAAGAACGTACAGGCAGACCCCCTTCCATAACCCACCCGAATGTGTGTATGTGTGTGTGGTTAGCTGTTTCACGTCTAGTCCATACCACTGTTACTAACATGTATACGAGTACGTATTACCAACAACTGTGGGAAGCATACTGCTGCCCACAATGTTTCCAACACTACCGTTGTCATCAATTGTCTACATGTTAACAATATTGTTGTTAACACGGTTGCCAACACATGTTACGTTGGTTTGGACGCACCTTAAGGGCAACAAACAGGTAAATGAAACTCACATGGTCCCTGAAGCGTCGTCCACACATGGTAGTGAACTCCCCTGGCACAGGAAGGATTGCCAGCTGACCTATACGACCAACCTGGGTGTCCACGATTCTTGGGTGCCACGGGTAAGGCATGTTGATCTGCCGGAGTAATGGCACGTCAGAAGAGGTTAAGAATTTTTATGGACACGTTATTTTGGAGTGACCCCTTGTACTCACTCTTACATACAGCTAACTCACTCCTCACTTTACACATCTGTCTCTTCACTCCACACACCCTACAACTTGTTATAAGTTTAGTTCATAGAGGCGCTGTTAGTTTTTGAAGACTTAATGAGGTTGGTGGTCAGTGTTAGGCGTTGGATTGAAAAGATGTTTAAGCATGTTAGTTATGTGAAGCAATAACAACTCGTCAGTAAAGACAAATAAAACTAAAAGGACCATTTTCACAGAATAACCGCCAAGGCACCAAAATATAACCCACAAGCTGATGTAATAAACATATGAGCTGGAATAAAACATTTATTGTTTATCAAACAACGGTTCACTAACAAGGTATTCTAAAAAATGGCCTTAAAAAACACATTTCATTAGTTCACCAAGACAAGGCAATTAAAACTCGATCTTGAAGAAAACTGCTGTAGTAAATCAAGAAATGATCACAAGTTAGACAGATACAACATTCAGTCTTCTCTTCGGTCTCACCTCGCCAGTGTCGAGGAGGATGGGCTTGGGGGCGTGGCAGGCGATCTGCTCTGGCGAGGGCTTGTGCAGGAGGCCGCTCACCATGTTCCAGAAGGGGTTCCCGTTCGTCATCCCTTGAGTGAAATCGAAGGCGCCTGGACCGTCGATGGTGCCAGCTGCAAAGCTGTAACCTAATGCTGGTATGCATGTCTTAGCCTGTAAATCGTAGGAGTTTGGTTAAGACCTTGAAATAAGCGTTGCGGGTTTTGCTAGGTTAAGAAACTGAGTTACTGTATTTCTGTTTCAGGTTAAGACCCTAAGGTAGGAGTTAAGGTTCTGATAGATGTGTTTGTTCTACTAAAATTAAACCCTGATGTTAGCTGGTAAATGTGTAGGTTCTAACAGGTTAAGGCAATGTGGTAAGTGTTTAGATTCTACTAGGTTAATGCCGTGTATAGAAACTTAAAGTTCAACTAATTTAATTTGGTTATTTAAAATGATAATGAAGCAAAGTTCCTTTCGTTACATAAACATAAAGATGACTTGCCTAGTTAAAATGAACTTGGCTAAGAAAGTTCTGAATAGGTAACGTAAGGACTAATGAGACATATTTGACTCGACTACAGGTGGTTATGGACTGCCATGCCTTGTCGTACATACCGATGATCCGTCAGCAAAGTTGACAGTATAGTTGGACATGTCGATGAACTGTTGAGCGAACTGAATTGAACCAGACAACTTGACGGCTGTCGGATCGTGGTACAGTTCCTGAGGGCACAATTTATTGATTAAATGCCTGTTACCTGCACGTGCGCATGTTGCAGATTAACGCATATCATCCGAATATAATTGAGACGCTTAAACAAGAAATATCACATCTGGTGAAAATTAGATCAATGAACTAATCCATCAACGATTTATGCTACCAATCGATTGGTTAGTTTTCAGATGTTATTCACTACTACTACTACTAGTTAAGGTTAAATTTCAAAGAGCTAAACAGGGTATCTAGCGAGGACTTACCCAGGCTTTCTCGTACTGGTTGTGGCCGATGATCCTGGTGCTGTCGATCATGTTCTTCCCAGGGCCAGATGCGATGCACTTCTCAACGCGGCCATTGCAAGTGGAGGAGGCCAGATCGCAGGGCAGCCCTGTATCGATGCACTTGGGGCCCTGGATGTTGGGGGTCACATCGCCACAATTGGTCTGCGCGAACGCCGCTACAAACTTTCCCTGCAGGAAGTGGTCATATCTTTTGTCAGGAAGAGTATGACAGACTGGCAACGCGTATTTTGGTGAATATAATGATCATGACGAATTTTTAGAAACATTGATTTTATATCCAATTGCAGGGAAAATAAGATGCAGGGAACTAACCTGGCCAGGCAGCGTTCCGGGGGGATTCATGGCCTTTTCGAAGAGCTGGGAAGCGTAGCCTTTATTGTCGCCAGAGATGAGCTTGTTGGTGTTGTTCATGGAGGTAGGGTGCACAGCAAACCAGTTCACCATCCCTGTTAGTTATACACTGAGTGAGCCACCTAATTACACTCATATGTCAACCAGTTATATTGTTAACTTGGAAGCGAGTTATATTTAACCTGGCAGCCAGTAACATTGTTATGGCTGAATATTACACTTGGTCCATATACTGTACTGCATACTCATATAACTACGCCTTAAGTATTTCCATATTTATATGAAGCTCGCGCTTACCTAAGTCTGTACCGTCTTGTCCGACAATCTTAAGAAGGGTCATAGTTTTGTCTGTGTCGTAGAGGTACTTTTTTCGCTCCTCCTCTGGGTTGTATAGGTAGCTGGTGGGGGAGCGGTTGATGGATGAGTTGAGTAGCTCCCCGCTGCTCAGGTACAGGTAGCCTGGCACCATGTTCTCGTGTGCCAGCTTGATGCTCTGTGGGTGTAAGCAGTGAGTAAGGAAGTGATCTTCATTTTCATCAATGGCAGATGAACGCTCTTGAAACTGACGATTAAACTACTTTTGTGATTCCCAGGTGAAAATCCTAAAATAGAAATGACAGAGTACGTCGATAGATTTATTTCCTAATTTATTTATCTTAAATCAATAAGGCGTTTTTGAAAAAAAAATGTTGCCCTCAGTGTTAAGACATGACTGAATTACTCAGAATAGGCAAACTGTTCTCCAACGTTTGCCAATCAATTTGTTAACCGTTATAAGTCGTATACTTCAACCTTACGGGAGAAACCTATAACGGGAAAAAATGATTTACGATTTGAACGAGTTCAGAGTCGGATGAATTACTCAGATAAACTGCCCTAAATTAATTATAACTTTGGTGATCTTACTGATAAATCTGTGGCTACCCGAGGTCTGGCTCTCCATATACTTCAGCTTAGAGCTTGATACTGTACGCATACCTCTCTCTCTCTCCTTGTGGTTATCAGCATATATATATATATATATATATATATATATATATATATATATATATATATATATATATATATATATATATATATATATATATATATATATATATATATATATGACAAGACTGAACCACCTATGGCTTAGGATACCGAAATTATGTTTAGTAAGTTAGCCAATATTGCAAGCCACAGCTCACTTATAATGGTTACTATAAATAAAAAAAAAATTGTACCAAAGCTATTTACTTTATACACAGGCAATATAATAATTGCTTGAGCCAAAATAAAATAGGAATCTGACGCGACCGAGTGTGAAGGGAATTACTATTTGTATAGTATAATTATGATATATAGACTTTGTTTAATACATATATCTAAAACATAAAAGCTGCATAAATGTACCTTAATAAATGTAATGAAACCTGATCATATCTGACATTTTAAAATTAAAATTTAACCTGTTTATATATTGACTTTGAAAGCCGACCAACACAGTTAAGGAGATTAATGAAACAACAGTAATTTCGGGATTTACCTGGTAGACCCCTTCAACCATGGCGTCCAAGGTCTCTTGGATGAAACCTAGAGATGTAATGTCAAACAGAAGGAACTGGAGATAGCCGGCGGGTCCTGAGTGAGTGTGGGTGCCGGACAGCATCACATTGTCGTGGCCGTACAGGTCCCCGTAGTCTTTCTGCAGCTTCTCGATCACCTGAATGGTGGGAACAAAAGCATAAAATTTAGTGGGTTTTTTATTGTTTAAAATTTATTATATAATTTTTCAATTAATATGTGAATTATCACATCTTCATTGCTTCTCTTAATTGTTTGTAACCTTTCCTTTTGGTTTTGAAAATTCTTTTAACAGAAATGGAAACAAAATATTAATTATAGTCTTTTGTCCTATTTTCATTACTCATCAGCTTACTAGTTTTGTTAAAATCAATAGTAATTAGATTATTATCGTTTATATGACACTTGTTTAAAATCTTTCTATTTTATAATTATCAGGGTCGCAATCTGAAGTGTACCCGTCGTCTCACACAATAGACCCCGTAGACCGGACGAATCGACGATTGTGACACGAGGTAACGGCTTGACTAACAATGTGTTTACAGCTTTTTTATCGTTAGTTTGAGAACTATTTACAATATTGTGTCAAAAATGAAATTCAGTGTTACTTGTACTAGAAAATATGGCATAGCATACAAGTGAAATGTATGGGGATTTTACTTTCACAACCTTAAGTACGAAAGTGTGGACCGGTGTGCCATGCCATTTGTGTTGCTTACCTTCTCATGCGGTCCGAACAAAATGCGTAAGAAAGTTAAACATGTAAATACGAATTGTATGTGATAAGAAAACTCCAGTGTGCTATTGTGGCATTGTGATGAACCAACTGTTAGATTTGGTATCACATTTAAAACTGTCTTGGCGACTTGATTACACACAGGTAGGTAGGCAGTCTTTTTATGATTATTATTTGATCTTCACTGGATTCTGTGATCACTCATAGCGGAAACATAAGCGTGTGCGCATCAGCCAGCTTGGAAATATAGGCTTTGTTAAATATTCTCGACCAACTGCCAGTGATTCAAGACATTTGCTTCAGGAAAAGTTTTGGTGAAGATTCGTTGCGGCTTTTGCTTCCTTAAAGCCGCCACTGCAGTTTCTTCACATGTGTTGAGTCAATGTCCTCAAGGAAATAAAGACAGGTGTTATAACATCGCCAGCGGACACAGCGGTTGTTGCACTCTGTATCCCTCGCCTCTCATCCTCAGTCTTGGATACACTGCGCCAAGCCTTTCAAATGACGAATAGACAGTACACACGGTCTGAAGTACATTGTTGATATTCTTAAGATTAGCACCAAATAGGTCTTTCCCAATGGTGTATTGTCTCACTAAAGCGTATTAAAGTTCATGTCTGTAATATCAGGCTCTGGATTCTGGAAGTAAATAACGTCACGCTCACCCGTCTACCCCCCCCTTCCCCCCCTCGCATACTCATAACGCACACATACACGCTCATAACGCACACATACATGCACACGTACATACATACTCATGACGCACACACACTCATAAACGCACACATGCTTACACAAAAATTAATAAGGAGGTGTAGAGTGGAGGTGTGCCTGAGCAGTTTGTTCAAGACAATGTGGGCAGCGACCGTGTGTGAAGAACAGCTCCGTGTGTGAACCAATAATTCATCATGGAAACTGAAGTGTAGTTTCCGGCTTCAGGTAGTTAACTTCCAGGAAGAAACCGCACACACACACACTTCCGTGCGTGGAACTCACTGATTGCGTTGGTAACGCCAGCATTGTAGCCCAAGTGGTAAAAAATACGATACAATATTTACAGAGAACCAACAAGCATATTTTTTCACTGAATTATTTTTATTCTTTCGTCTATTACCTAAATTGACTATGTTGCTACGAATTCATGATCATGTTCAAATTTCCAGATGATTTACTGTCAAGGAAAACTGTGACAGTTTAGTGTTATCTTTATGGTAATAGTGTTTAGTCTCTTAATAAAGGGTGCAGTAGCCGAGTGAACACAACACTCGTGTCCTTTCTTAAGGTTGCTGGTTCACCCCCAGAGCATCCTCAGCTCTTCCAACTATGAATGAATACCTGACATTACTGTTAGAGGTGAAGGTGGTCGAGTACAATAACGGCCGCACTATCTCCTTGTGTACAAGGGCTACAGTTTGCTGTATCGTCACAGCCCCTTAATGAACCGTCAGGTATATGGAGCCCATAAATGCGTTGTTTGTATTAATTATGTATTTATTTTTATTTAATTTTTTTAAGCAAATTGTTTCACACATAAAATGGAACAGGCTCGTGTACAGCAGTATACAGTCAATGACTCAATGTGAAGTCTTGTCCAGAATTTTGCAATTTGTTAAAAGTATCGCTACAATCTGCCTTAACGTTACTTTTAGCCAGACTTTTAGCTAAACGCACCAGACCTCACATCTCTAGCGGCTGGTACTCAACATGGGCCATCTAGCGATACTGTCAGACAATAAAACACCAGGTGTGGTAATTCAGCAGCAGTCATAGAGCTATGACTAGCAGGTGTTGACATATGTTGATAACCATAGTTAATATTAGTTGCAGCTATACCAACAGACACCAGTTATCTTTTTTTTTTGTCTTAACAGAATGACTGCTATTTGTACAAGAAACTTACATGTGTGATCCAGGGCGATGGAACATGGTCATTATCTTTGATCACATACACTGTACAATATACATAGATTGTATCTTATCTGTTTTAGTCAATAAATTAGATAAATTCATAAATTTCTTTACGGTATGGTTACTATAGATCGATATCTGGCAGGAAACAAAACACATAGTAAGTCATTTCAGCGGTGACTCCACTTTTCACCAATTTATTAATACACTGTGCTGTAAGTAGATGTTTTTCACATCTTAAAATAAGAAAACACCGTCTGGTCTATAACTGCAGTTGCCCTAAACTACGAAACGTGGAGGGTCAGAATTATCCCCTCTAACATCTAGTAAAATATTGTACAGTACAAGCGGAATAATGACCCTTACGAGATGGCAGCGTCACGTCACAGGTGCCAGACAGGTGTGCAAGATGCCAGGTCTAGTATGCCTTGGGTCGACGGTCTGCAGCTCTTCCATCTCCGTCAGACGCCTGTAACTCGCATCTCCCCTGTAATTTCTTTTCCCTGATATATATAGTCAAAATAAATTAGTCGTATTGAAATTTTACTATTTTTGGACGTTGCTTTTGCATTTCTCAAACAGTTAGATATATTATTACATTTCCTATTACGAGGAATATTCACCGTACGAACGATAGAGAATCTGGACCCTGTTAATTAATGAGAGACATTAAATGAAAATTTATATCATGTATAATGAACGCGTAAATATTTATACATTACATGACGTATATACAATATATAATTTGATACGATTAGTCAGTGTCGAAATTTACAATTATTGCGGTAACGATAGATAAATGGTCTTAAATTTGAAGTATTTATAAGAACAACAGTGGGGCTTTAGTTGTCAGGGAAAGACAACGATAGATAGATAGATAGATAGATAGATAGATAGATAGATAGATAGATAGATAGATAGATAGTCAACATACAGTGGTCAATTTATTCATATATAAGTTTGTCAATAATGAGGCAGTGATACTTTTACTGTATTTGTAATTATATATATATCTTTATATTTATCAACTCGCCCACCTATCTATCAGTCTGTCTATCCGTCTACCTATCTACCTGACTATCTATCTATAACGACTTTACTGAACTAATATCTATCTATTTAATCGAAGCAGGTCGTGTTCTGGTCAAGGAATCGAAACAAGAGAAGCAGTCAGTGTTGTGTTTGAACCAGCAATGTGTGTGTGTGTGGAGGTACTGACAGTGACATGAAGAATTGGCAGTGCCAGAAGGAAGTGACAGTGTTATGTGAAGGTGAAAGGAGCAGCTCGCAGTGACAGTAAGAGCTGGCATTGACAGGTGACAGTGACATGAAGATGAAAGTCGACAGGAGAAAATGACAGCTCACAAAAGCATGGACCAGTTTGCCTGAACAAATTCCCACGTTTCTAACTATACCAATCCGCGAAAGACGACTGGACAAGCATTGGATGGATCAAGATGTGCACAACTATACAGACCTCTGAGTACCTGTACTGTATATGTAGAGTAATAGCACCACTAGCCCTGAGTATATGTAATAGCACCACTAGTCCTGAGTATATGTAATAGCACCACTAGCCTTGAGTATATGTAATAGCACCACTAGTCTTGAATATATATATATATAATAGCACTACTAGCCCTGAGTATATGTAATAGCACCATTAGCCCTGAGTACAGTATATGTACTAGCACCACTAGCTCTGAGTATATGTAATATCACCACTAGCTCTGGGTATATTATGTAGAAGTAATACTACATTGAAATTGGTATTGAAACAGTTTATTTGGGTCGAAAAATGCAGATATTAAGTGAACAATAACAACAATATTGACATGGCTGATCCAAGCGAGGGGCCAATATTTGTTAGATTATGTTTTATCATTATTTGTACTGTATATTATTATTGTTATTAATATGTAAATCCCCGGTGAGAGGAACAATGGTAAATAAACGCCAAACTCCATATTATGACAGTAAGGGATTTGTTATTATATCATAATTCATTGTTATTATAATGTCTAATATGAGTTAATTTTCAGGGCAACAGCATTACTCAAGGGAGGACTTCCTAGCTGACCACAACCAGAGGAAACATCTGGGTTATAACTTACTGTACGAGGCTGCTGGATGCTTGCCCTCGCCAGTGCTATAATGTGACTTAAGACTGTATTTGTATCTGTTTGCTTATGTAAATTAAGGCGGATCACATGAAGATCAGCACCCCCCATGTTATTTCATTGATTAAACACCTCAACGCTACCTGGGGTGGTTAGGTTAAGTTAGGTTAGGCAAGATGAGGTTAAGTTAGGTTTAGGTCGGGCTAGGATAGATGCTTAGTGTTTAATCTTCATGTGAAATAAGCTCGGGGTGTTAATCTTCATGTGGCTCATTGTGGTTTAAGTTATTTACTTTATAAAGGACTCAGTTTGGTAGATGGGTGGTAGTAATCACATGTGTAAATATACTGTATAGTTTGGTGCATGTGGCTTGTAAGCACGAGTAGAGATACAATTTGGCGCGCGTGTGTTCATTTGTTTGAGTTTTATGCATACATGTATTTATATTTTGTAAATGTGTGCATACTTGTGTTTCGGCGTTTTGTAAGTCTGAGACCCTGCATGTTCGTGTGTGCGCATGCATTTGTATTTATGGTATGTGATGCGCATGTGTTTGTTTGTTTGTTTGCATGCATATGTATATATGTGTAATGTCTAAGTGTGTGTGCTGTAAAAAGAAACCCCTTTGAGTGCTCCTACCCCAGCATCCCACCCCACCCCACCCCACCCCACCCCACCCTCCGGACTGGCTGAGGGCTCCAGTAGACACCAGACCCACAATTAACTGTTTAAACAGTCACTTAACTGTACGTGTAATTAACCCTTACCCTCTGGGCAAACTGGGTTATTGATCTCACTTTGTTGACGTGAGTGTGTTTGTGTGTCAGTCCATCTCAGTTACGGGGAGGTCAGTTTAAGGAAGTTTGGCAGGTGCTGTGGATGGTAACTTGAGAATCAACTGGGTTAATTTTTAGAGATATAGGTCAGAGGTCATGGTCAGAGAGTGCCTAACACTTAGCCATTGAAACGGGTAAACATAACGTGAAGTAACTTTGATGGCAGGAGCTTATAAATTGTGGTGAAGACTGGTAAAATTTTAAGGATATCGCTCAGGGTTAGAAGATCTTAAAAAAAAAATATATATCCCAAATCGGTAGACTAAATTTGATGACACTTATTAGGTAGATTGCTTACATAAAGATAAGGACCATTTGATACTGGACAAAAATAGGAGTAAGGTCAAAAGTTCTGTTAACTGCAGGAGGATTGTGCATCAATAAAAAACAACTGAGTAAGACTTATAATATCAAGATAAACAATTTCTTAACAGTTTACTACATCAGCAGAATTTTTTACAATACAGTAATCTCGTGGAAATGATTATTGACACCTTTAAGCAAATTTAAATTTATAAAGGTAGAATGTCTAAAATGTAATAGGTATCAAATGTAAATGAAGAGAGACTGGTAAACGGGCATCTGAATTTGTATGTGTGTGTGTTTGCTTATTTAAGAAGTTACTTAAAGTGATCGTAGTTCGACGACCAATTATTCTGTGTGATAACGTTGAACTTGGATGACGATTTCTAACGATCACATGACAACATTGCTCGTAATGGGAAGACGATAAACTGTTGATGAGAGGCTTTTTAGTTTACACACGATCCTATAGTACTGCACTAACCCAAATTCTGGATATTACACGCTACATCATCTCTATCAAAACAAACCTGGGTTGGTTTTGACGCTCGTGGGATCTCGACCACACACACACACGTCACTAAGGTCAGGTTAGCGTTCAGGCTTGAGTGTTATGGGAGTTGTGTGAGAGCGACTGCAAAATTCGTCACAAAACCAGATTTAGTAATTGTCCGGTGAATATCTTAATTTAACCAAAATCAAATAGCTAAATCTATCCAACTTAAGTCACATAACCTAATGTAACCTAATCCAAATACTTTAACCCAAACTAATTGATGGATGATTCAACAGACAATGCCGCGGTGACGTGAGTGGTGGTGGTTGCCGGCAACTGCGACACCACGCCGCCCGCCACGTCTGGCACTCCACCTCTCTCTACCCATCAGCCTCAGTTCCCTGACAATTTCCCGAGAGGGTGGGGCGACGCCTCGTCTCTCTTTGATCACCTCACGTACATCCCACCGATTTTGTTTAGCTACTTATCACCACGTCGATGAAGTGTCAGTGATTTAAGAAAAAAACAAAACAAAAGTGGATTCATTTGACCAAAACGGAGGATCTTGAAGTTTCTTGCAGGTAAGGAATGACGTATTTTTGTGCAGTTTCTTAAAGACTTATGTCATTATATGTCGTCCTTAAATCTTCAGTTGTCTTCACTTTGAGAAAAAAATATGAAGTTCAGAGTCAGAATGAGGGTGTGGTGAACAAGAGTATGAAATAAGTTTTGTAGAAGGCGAGTAAGTGAGTACTGTAGTGGTGACCCATCACCCAGGCGGCCAGCGGCTAACACCTACCTGACCTGTGGGAGGCTGGCCAGGGTAAGTTCAATGCTCGCCTCACTCACCATCCGCTTGGCGACTTGCGGTTTAAGCCTACGTCCGCACAATAATAAAGTCTCACCATTTGCATTAAACGTTATGTGGGTTGAAATATTAAATATATGTAAAGTTATTAAGGTTAAGCTGGGCGATGACAGGGAATTTAATAAGTTTGGGGGGATGCAACAATCATTCCCATAATGACGTGTAATTGTACCTGCTAATGGTGTGTGATGTTTTGTCACTGTTAATACCTCTATGGAATACGGTATATCGAACAAGTGTTATTTTTAGTTATGGTCATGCTTCCAGAGTGATATAGTCAGGGTATGTATTTTGTGAAGTCTTTACCTCTTCAATAAATATCACATAGGGTTATTGTAATATTTCAGAAGTGACGAAATGTAGCAATTACTGATAAGATCTGATCCATTTTGTTAATTCCATATCTTGAAGGGAATGTTCACTAGACTGGACTTATGTGCCTACTATGTATAATGATTATCACCAGCGGGGAGTGATGAAGACACTGTGTACTTCCCGTCATATTCGATTAACACCCACTAATAATATTTTCACCTTTAACACCAATAATATTATCATCTTTAACACCAATAATTTTCTCACTTTAACACCAATAATATTATCACTTTCACATTACTTGATTCGTTTGTATCATGAAGCTCGGATACAAATTACTGACACAGGTAATACAAAGAACTGATTGCTTTCTACGCCCGGATGTAGATGTGAGCCTAGCCAAGCACTGGGAGCATTCAGAGTTAATTCCAATGAAAGATCCACTTGAAGCAGTCTTGACCTTTGCCACGGCGGGTAAATGTGAGAAACAAGACATTAACTTTGAAAAAAAAAAGAGAATTAATGATATTTCATTTAATATCTGTCGGGGTTCTTTTTCCTCGAGTGGCTAGGCTGTTTAGTTTAACATTATTCTCACATCAACACGTGAAGCATAAGTATCTAAAAGAAGAAGAAAGTAAAGAGAAACACAACATTGATGAAAAATTGGTCACTGGCAGCATGAATCCACGGTTTAATTAACGTTCCTCCACACGAAACCCTCATCATTCAGACTCAAAAATCTAACGTTGGACTCCCTAAACGCTGAGAGGAATGAGTGAACAGTACAGTACTACTACATTTTATTTCCCTCGAGAAGTTACCGTGGTCTTGTATAACACAAACTAGTAGACGAGGCAGGGTATTTTTAGTAAGGGGAAACATGACTGATCTGCATACAGTCCCAGAATAACTCAAAACCTTACTTGAGATTAGAAATGTTGTTGTATTTAAAGAAAAAATAATTTCTGGCGTATAAATGTAAACAATGTGGGGTTGGACCAACAGCGATGCGGCATGATACTTCCTGATATTTACTCATATCATGGCAGGGTGCGCCCACAAGGGGAGGGGAAGGGGGGGGGGGGAATCCCGGTTTAGGAAGTCCCTCCCTCCGTAAATTGAAAATAATAAAAGGAAAACATATCTTCGTATATTTTCTGCTTGAAATGCATTCTGATTTTTCACACATGCCTCCCAGATAAATTCTTTCTTTTTGAATTACCTCCTTACTTATTGAGGTCCTTCGTAAGACGTGAGTGGTATGATAGTATGTCTTTCTTAAGGTTAGTTCTTGTTGCCTTTCCATAACACTTCACAATTCTACATATCAATCTTGGTTCAATAGGTTTAATAATTTTTAGAAATACAATATACTGAATTATATTTCTCTGTAGTTGGTTTGTACGTTTTTTTTTACATTGGCTAATCAAGAATATAATACAATATTAAGGTTCACTCCTTCCTCTCGTTTTAAAACTCAGGTGAACCTCTCTAGTACAGAAATGCACCTAAATAGTTGACTTAAACCACAACAAAATACCAATTCCCTAAAATATAAAAGGGTAGTGATGCTGTTGGAAAAGGTCCTGTGTGTTTGGTTCGTCTCTAAACTACTGTATTTTATTGTAACCATAACTCTATCTAGTTAAGGTACAAACTAAGTGAAAATTGTATATTAATTTGTTACGTTATTTTGGTGTTTTACCTTTTGTCATTTTGTTAGATGTATTCTTTATTTATAATTACGATGAATACTCTCCGTAAGAATCATTGAAATTTAAACACTGGATTGGTTAGGATAGGTTAGGTCAGGAAGCGTCAGGGTCAAAACGCCTTTCAGTCGATTTACTCGCCAAGATAAACTTGCCTGATGATATATCCTGCATGAGTTGGGGAAAATATTACATATACATTTCGTGATTTTTAGGATTTATAATTAAATAAAAGATGCTTCGTGTATTTTTTATATTCATACAGTCCGGAGTAGTGTGTTGGACTGCCGTAATTGGTACAAGCACAATGCAGCAGAATTGTTATTTATTTGTTGAGTTGTATAGTTAGTCAGTTTTTTATGGTGTCAACCGAGTATATACAATGTCTTTGTTTTATTTGATGACGTTACAGATATATCAAACTTTAAAAATATGGATTAATTTGCGGTCTAAGCCTATGAGTGTGGAACTGACAGGCCCATTGACATAGGGTCATCAGCACACACACACACACACACGTGAGAATAGCACCTGTTGGGGAGGGAGACGTCACCTGCGTGTTACCTAACCTGAGGGAGGTGATTGTTGGGAGTTAGGTTCGTGAGTCATCGCCCTGTTCCCCCCCCCATCCCTCCTAACCCCCCCTAACCTCCTGCTAAAATAAAATTATACCGGAACATTCAAAGGTAATGGTGTTCCGTGCTGGTACAATACAATAGATCCTTTGTTCCAAGGTAATAGGTACTCTGTGCACTAGCTATTCAAACGTCTCACTGAATTTTCAATCATTTCAGCAATCCAGCCTGTGATATCTGTGGGGGGGGGATAACGTTTTTTTTCTTTAAAATAAGGCAAATTTTCTGACTGGAAGATATGATATTAAACTAATAACTCCATATTATCGGGTTATGGAGTCACTTTGAGATGATACACCGGATGGAGATGTTTCCCAAACAATCGGGTCGATCATTGGTCAAGGGTCTATAGCTTCCATCACCAACTCCCTCCAAACATAATCTGTGTCAGACTGTTGATATCAGTCGACCTGCTCAAGACCGTCTCATCATTGCCACTGTTTAGTATGACCTGATCTTGCATTCATCACTCTGTATGATATAGAAGTAGTGGCCGTGGCCGTTTTGATAACAGTAACCGAACCGACTGTGAATACTGTATACCGTTGACTACTTTCATTGGCCTAGATACTTGAGGTCGTCCCTTAGTAGTATGTCTCTGCCTCCACCAGACCTATGGGTTTGACTCCTATGCGATATAGAACGGTAGGGTGTCGTGTTAAGGTGCGTTACAGTACTGAGGTAATACGTTTTTTTATATATATTTAATACAGCGTCATAATAAGAAGACAATGTTACTTGTGTTGATATACTGTATAACTCCCCGTTTACGTTCAGTTAAGTTTAGTGGAATCTTGTTCTACCAACTTACACACGAACGGGATCCAAGAACAGTATCATGCCAAGTTAAACCCCTGACATGACCCTTTAACTGCAAATAAGATTAAACATCATTAAATATATGTCTAGTCACAGTACTTTGAGGTAGTCAGAGCATGTGTGTGTGTGAAGTGTGTGAAACTGTTATAAAACCTAAATATATACAGGTTATTTAAGGTCGAATGTTATTAGGTCATCTGTTATTCTCGGTGCGTCCCTATGTTGTTGACAGGATTAAAAGTAGTCCCAACAACTCGGAGGAAATATTGAGATTCTAAGGTAGTCAATGACCACTATATTGCTTAATGGGATGAAACAATGGACAGGTGGACTAAACTGTTTTTATACCGGTAGTGATTTTTAGTTGTGCTTTCAATAGTAAGCAAATCAGATGTTGATTGTTGTTATTCAAATACAGATTTGAATAACTTCTTAATGCAGGAGCTGTGAGAGACAGAATGTCTTTCTCCCATGAACGATGCTCACTCGTTACTAGTTCGCTCGCGGCTCCCTGACGCCCTACTATAACCTGTTTATGTGAGGCAGTTTGGCAGTGAAAGTAAGATAGCATAGCAGCATTAGTTTCAGGAGCTGTTGTAATGGAGTTATTTATGGTGTTTGTTAGAATACAGTAAGTAGACATCCTTGGTTTGGAATCACCAGCTGCAATTATCAGAACAGGACTAGTGGACCTTATTGGGTAGACTGGCCCACACGATGACACGCTATGAATCCCATTCGCCAGGCTGCTGTCCACACCTTCCTTATGTCTCGTATGCATAAAGGCGTCTGTCACTCACAAGGTCATAACAGACTAGCCTCCTTCATTGTCCTTACCCCCACACTACCAAGACAGTGCGGCATTGAGCACGTATCACATTCCACCCCCCAGTAGTACTCCGCCCTTTACGCTGGGTCTGTACTGTGGTAGCAACGTTTCGTACCGTAAACTTCAAACGGAAGAGCAGGTGAGGGGTAGGTTGCATTTCCTCGTTTGGGTGGAATCTGGACTCTCGTATATTGACGGTACAGTATTTACAGAGGTTCATATGACAAGAACTAAATTTTGAAGGTGTCACAATACATTTAACAAGTTGACTTAACAGAGAAACCCAGCAGAACCATCCAAAACTACCATCACAAAAACACTGATACTTTTCCTTAACTAGATACGTTCACTTAGTATCAGATAGGAGGTAAAATTAAGGTGCAGAATTTTCCCAAAGATA